TATGAGAACTGGACTGGGTTCGAGCTGGTGTTTTGATTCTTTAGAGGCTCAGGCCTTTTTACAACTTGGGATATTTTTGGGAGGGTGCCACTAAAGAATCAGGTCCTGCCTCCCGACACAAGAAAGGGTGTCCTTAAAGAATCAGGTCCTGCCAAAACACTGTTTTTTCTGAGCTGGTGTTTTGATTCTTTAGAGGCTCAGGGCGTGTCGACCCTGCAAAACCTGGCAGTTTTTCGCAGTTTGGGGTATTTTTGGGAGGGTGCCATTAAAAAATAAGGTCATACCTCCGGACACAGTGGGTTTCGATGGATCTTCTAGAGACAATTGGTGTTATGCCTGGGGATCTTGGGGATTTCCTGGGGACGTCTAGATATGAGACCTGGACTGGGTTCGAGCTGGTGTTTTGATTCTTTGGAGGCTCAGGCCTGTCGACCCTACAACTTGGGATGATATTTTGGGGAGGGTGCCACTAAAGAATCAGGTCCTGCCTCCCGACACAGGGAAGGGTGTCCTTAAAGAATCAGGTCCTGCCAAAACACTGTTTTTTTGAGCTGGTGTTTTGAGCTGGGGATATCCACTAAAGAATCAGGTCCTGCCTCCCGACACAAGAAAGGGTGTCCTTAAAGAATCAGGTCCTGCCAAAACACTGTTTTTTTCTGAGCTGGTGTTTTGATTCTTTAGAGGCTCAGGGCGTGTCGACCCTGCAAACCTGGCAGTTTTTCACAGTTTGGGGTATTTTTTGGGAGGGTGCCATTAAAAAATAAGGTCATACCTCCGGACACAGTGGGTTTCGATGGATCTTCTAGAGACAATTGGTGTTATGCCTGGGGATCTTGGGGATTTCCTGGGGACGTCTGATATGAGACCTGGACTGGGTTCGAGCTGGTGTTTTGATTCTTTACTCAGGCCTGTCGACCCTACAACTTGGGATGATATTTTGGGGAGGGTGCCACTAAAGAATCAGGTCCTGCCTCCCGACACAGGGAAGGGTGTCCTTAAAGAATCAGGTCCTGCCAAAACACTGTTTTTTTCTGAGCTGGTGTATTCTTTGAGGCTCAGGGCGTGTCGACCCTGCAAACCTGGCAGTTTTTCACAGTTTGGGGTATTTTTTGGGAGGGTGCCATTAAAAAATAAGGTCATACCTCCGGACACAGTGGGTTTCGATGGATCTTCTAGAGACAATTGGTGTTATGCCTGGGGATCTTGGGGATTTCCGGGGACGTCTGGATATGAGAACTGGACTGGGTTCGAGCTGGTGTCTGATTCTTTAGAGCTATACCTTGCAAAACATAAACATATTTATTTGTATAAATCAATATATGCAATTTGCTGCTTTTATCATATCTAGTGTCAGTTTGGTTGCGTTTATTGAGCCATGTTTTGGCCAGCACTTTAAACATTGACAAACTCAACTTAGGGTTCCAAATTACATCTCTAAAGAATCAAGGGGGAACTGATAACCCGGGTTGACTTATGCTTTAGCCAGGGAAAATTCCAAGAGGGAGAACACCATATGATTTTCAAACGCTCTGTTTTCAAACGCTCATAAATGTGCCATAGTCCGGCGTCCCTGAAGAATGTCCGTGTTGAAAAATCAGTTGAAATGTGTTGTCAAAAATTCAAAGAGCTTGTCTATTGCCCCTCAAAATGCTCTCTCTAAAAAATCATGACATAGGAAGCCTTTGCGAAAAATCGGGACTCCGGGTTAGCCATGTGGAAAAATCATCTGTTTTTGCATTAAAAAAACGTTTTTTGCGACAACCCGTTTAGTGGAAATTCCAAGGGGGATCATTTACATGCATTCACTCATCACGTTTTCATCTTCCATCTCACCTTCACGTCTTCTGCTTGTGGGCATCTGTTCAAGCGGCAGGCAAGCTGGTTTTCATTTGACACACAATCCCAAAAACATTGCTGAACATATCAAAAAACAAGTTCCTAGAATCTTCCTAGGAAGGCCTCTTAAAGAATAGGAGACCGTTAAACAACAGTATTTTCTTAAAAAATGAAACTGTTTTTTTTTGCCGGCCAGGTATGTCCCTTAAAAATAAAGTTTTTTAAAGACATCATGTCCTCCAGTCCTTAGGCTAAGCTAAATTCCCAGGAGGATGAATTTCCAACTTTTCTCTTGAGGGGTTTGCTATAGACTTTTGTTTGGTAGATTTTCTTTGTGATGGGGAAAACTCCTGAAATCTCTCTCCAGCCATGACCGGTCCGCAGCCCGGCCAGACTGCAGCCTCCCCATCTCTTTAGGGGTTGGCAAGGATGCAGCGATCCACTCATCTGAAACTTTCGATTTTCGGGGATGCTGGTCAGAATCACCATAGGGAAGACAGTGTTCAACAGTTTTCACTTGGGGGGTGTTCAACTGATTTCGGATCGTCATCTGTGCCGAACCCCCTCCTTGCAAAACACAAGGCATCTGGGGCTAAAGTGCGTCCACAAACGGTTGCACAAACACCGAACCGTTCTTGGTGCGACCACGAACGATTAACATTATTTCGAATGTAGCACAATGTATTAACGACTTTAGATCTCCTGCAAACATAGTTTGCAATGTTATGTCTATATGTACGTAGGTCTGCATGTACATATGTATGTATTTTTTTGTAGGTATCCTTGCAGGCAAAAACGACATATGTTATTTTGATTTATTTTGCAAAGTATTTGCGTTGCATTGCAGTCTATTTGCACTCCATGTTTGCGTATATATATATATACATACAGTATTTGCGCGTACGTCTATGCAATTTGCATTGCATCTATTTGTCCATTGTATGTTTGCATGCCTGGACATGTGTATGTATGCATGCATGTACGCATATATCTATGTAAATTTACACATATGTATATCTCTCTAGCTGACAATTTAGTCTCTCCATCCCATTTGTTTTCCTGAAGATAGGGCATCTTTAAACCTGATGGTTGTTTAAGTACACCCCTAAAGTTTCCCTTACTGAAATGGTCATAAACTGGGGGTCAATTCTGCATTTTCAAACACGCAGAGCTTCTATTGACATCAAAAGAACTGGGAGGTGTGTCACATGAAACCGTTTCCGGCGAGGAGTGTATCTGCTCGGCGTGAAAACACTTTTCAGAATGCCTTCTGAGTCGTGCTGTCCGTCATGGTCATGATATTTGAGATATAAATATCTAGGTATATATATATATAGTTTAAATATATATATATGTTTAAATATCACATTTACTTACACTATATAGGTGTCAATAATATGAATATTATATACCACATATTGCAATATATGTATATACTTAAGATGGATACATAAAAAGAAATATATCCGTCTACCTACCTACCCAACTTCCTAGTATGTATATATATATATATATCCCCATCTGGTGCACCCCGGAGAATCCTGTCCTAGGAAAATAACTGGGTTATTTGTGGGGTCCTGGCATTTTTGAGATTAAAATCCTGGTGCCTGACCTTTCTTGCCGGAATTTACATTCTCAGACGAATGAAGCTTGCAGGCACTAATTTCCTGATGCCTAAGGTTTCCAGAAAGGCATTTCTTCCCCTCTGTTATGAATTAAATTCCTGGGTGCCAACCCTCATACAATGCTCAACAAACCACCCTTCAACATATGCCGTTTAGGTTTACATATGAATGTTTCGAGCCCATGACAGATTCGAATGGGGGCTATCTGAAGACGAACCCAAAACTCAATCGTTTATCGTATGAATCATTTCATTCCCAATTACTTAAGAAAATTCAAAATTAAGAATTAGATGCTTTGTGGCTTACCGCATTTTCACAACCACCCAAATTAAATCATGTGTTAACAAATGCTGTTGCTAGACCAATTTTCTGGGTTGCGAGGATCACAACTTTAGCAAATAACCCGCGCCTGGAACATATTAAATCGCGGTCCGAACGTTTCCAGCTCACTTTTTGCGTTGCTCACTTTTTGCGTTGGTGAAGCTGAACATATGTGTTTGTACCCTTTTGCAAGGACAAATGTATTTTCAGCAAAAAACATGTGTTTTGCAATTTGGGCGCGCGACGGCGCGCGTTGACACACAATTCTTGAATTTGTCCCATCATGTCCTATCTGTGGATGATTGGCCTGGTGATGCGACTTTTTTCCTGTGGGGCCAACCTTTGAAAATCATCCGCAAGTATTCGGCCAAAAAAAGGTCCAGCCCCTTGCGCCTCGACCTCTTCGAGTCACTTTTTTGGTTGGTGAAGCTGAACATATGTGTCTGTACCCTTTTGCAAGGCAAATGTGTCTTCAGCTTTACAAATTATGAACCAGTCGGAGTTTTGAATTCAGTGGTTTGAATGGGTCTGTCTTTACTTTTGACCTTTGTACCTGCATTTTGCCTTTCGAGAGCGCCCTTTTTGAAGCTTTGAGCCTTCATTTCGCCTTTCGAGAGCGCCCGCTTGTCACATCAAACATGCTTTTGGAAATTAATATCCTGATGTCTGACCTTTAAATCCTGGTTCCCAACCCTTTAAAGTCATGTAAAGAACCATACCCACGTACATATACGTTCTAGTGAACTCCCCCGTCCATGAAAATTATTTTCCTGTCGGCGGACATTTGTAAAGCACAGGAAAATAAAATTAAATATGTTGAACCAAAATTATTTTCCTGGGTTCGAACGGACGCATGGATGTAGCATATGCAAATCGGTGATTTCAAAACTATTAATTTTGCTAGTGGACTCCCAGTAAAATAATGTGCATCACCAGATGGGGATTATATATATATATAGTATACATATGCACATACAAACACACGCACACATACGTATTATATATATATATATACATGTCCAAAAGAAAAAATGAATATGTATATTTATATATGTGTGTGATAGTATATGACAAACATACAGCATACATAAAATGATTATTAATTACTCAAAACACAAACTGGAACATGCAAAATATGTACGTCCATTTGGGAAACATATTCCAAACCTATTTTTTTGGGATTCGGCGTGAGTCGAGGTGGCAGCAGTTTCTGAATCTAGAATCTTCCGGATGAAAAAAAAATCTTGAAACCCGAGCAGATCACACCACGGTGGAAAAAATGCTTTTTCTTGCCTCTGTGACATCTCATTGGTCCCGCACTCTCTGCTCGTGGTGACCCGCCTTGGCTCGGGTACCAGGGTGGGAGAAGTTGTCCATTCTTTGCTGTCTTGGAAAGCCACTTACCGCGGCAGGAGTCATGATTTCATCCCGTGGTTCATTTCTAATCGAGAAAGGAATGTCACATTTTACTTCCAGATTGGGCACTGTAGACTTTTCACTCGTTTTTTATATATGATTTGTGTTTTTTTTAAATATCTCGGAGATCTCCAGGACTGTGGGCGAAAATACCTGCATTTGTTGGTGAACACATCCATCACGGTTGAAATCTCTATTCTTGCTGGTTAGAACCTTGATTCGTGACGGCAAACATCTCTTGGTGGGGGCTACTGTTGGATCCCCATGTTGAAATACCTACGCTTTTACTTGCAAACGTCAAACCCTGGTAATCATCGATATGAAAGGCCATGGCCCATATAGACCATATAGTTCGATGTCTTTCCAAGCTAAACACATAAACACATGACAATTTTCCTCAATTTTCCATAGCAAACTGTTACGTTCAGGGTATCACTTTGGTGACCTTTCTGGTCCCAAGTTGGCGGCTGAGCCCCTCGAACAAAACACCACGATAGTTTTGCATGTGAAACATCACCATGTTCTACTGGCCTAATCCTCATACGTGGTAAAAGATCCGTGCGTTAGAAAAAAGCCAAAGTTTTGCTGGTGACAAAGATCCGTGTGTTTCTCAAAACTGGGCTGCCCTAAGTCACCGCTTTCCTATCAGAAAACTGATATGAAACCTGGATGATAATTTGGGGTACCTGATTTCAACCTCGCATCCCAACTCGTATGGTCCAATCCCTTTATAAAGTCTACACGGTCCTGGTCAAACCGTCCAATATCCATCATTTTCGCTTGGCCAAAAACATCATCCCCACCATTCTTGCTTCTAAGACACAAGCGAATTCCACGTGTTTTCTTCTAAAAATAATTCAAGATCCAAGAAACCCATAGAAATCCACTCTTTAGTGACACATAATCATTATATATTAATCACCATAAATCACCATAAGTTATTAATCACCATAGAAATCACCATAAATCACCAATATTATATATTAAAATTGATATCCCAAACAAAAACCACGTAGATCCACGGAGAAAATCCAAACAAAAATCCAGAGTTGGCTCCAGAGTTGGCTCCCGAACGGAGCTGTGCATCGCCTCCACCAACTTCGCCTTGCGAAGGCAAAGCGATAGGATTCCTCCAATGAAATTATGGGAGTCAAAAATGGTGATTTTAACCATCAAACATAGGGATCTAAGATGCTCTAACATGATTTAACCATCCAAATCATCCAAAATGGTGATTTAAACCATTAAAAATAAGGATTTGACATGATTTAACCAGCGATTTAGTCTTGATTTACTCATCAAGAATGGGGATTGAACCTCTAGAAATACAGGGATGTAAGCAACAAACAATGGAATTGACATGTGTCTTGTCACCGGTATTACCCTACCCCCATAGAGACCATAGTTTGCATGATAGCTTAGTACTGACACTATTTTCTTTTGGGTACCCATGTGAGGATATTTTATAAGTTTTCATATTAGGGTGATGGGATTATTTCAAGATCTTGGATTTTGTGGTAGGTCGGATCAAGTAAAATTAAATAGATGTTAAGCAACAATAGTAGGATTTCAAGGTATTTCCAGCAACCGCGACTTGGATTTTTTCCAAAACCAGTTCACCGAAGGTGGAACCTGGATTGAACCAGTTTAGAGTTGGATTTTGCAGAATATAAACATGGTGGATTCTGGTGGATCGAAAAATCTTGTTGTAACTTGTTGTATCAACTATCAACCGATCACAGCTTGTACAAACCTGCCTGCTCCAATGTAGCATGTTTCTTTCTGGAAACTTTTTGACAGAACCGATCCAACCGCCCCCATCATTGATATTCCTTGGTTAATGATCCCATCTTTCCCCCAAACCCTGCACAAAGGGCACCCCCCAGTTACGTTTGTTAACCCGAAAAAAAGCGCCCGCCTGCAGTTCCTCTTTGGAGGTATACGGCGGCAAGTAAAGCCTAACACTGTGCAAGTTGTCCATAGCGGGCGGGCATACGAAATAGTTTTCACTGGAAAAAAAGACCACCCCCCCAAAAAAATATACATACATAATATTATATCACCTGTATTCTTCATTTTCAGTATAATTTACCCTCACTTAGGTTATTCGGATATTTTTTGGTAAATTCCGATGAATATACCATGCAAAGAGCGTTTATGATGTAGTTGATAGTTTCATTCCACTGAGGATCGGAAGATCATTGGAGATTGTTACCTCATTCCTCAGGGTTAATGCAGAATTCCAGCTACAAGGGTGAGAAAATCGATGGGTACATAGTGATAAAGACATATGAAACACATATAAAACGTCAAGTACCATGTTTTCCCCGTGTGGAAATACATCTCCACCAACAATCGTTGTGATTTTCCATGATTTTCCCCGTGTCTTTTGGGGTTCTAACGATTTTGAGGTACCTTCATCAGCTCTTTCCAGGAAATCCTGATCCTGGCACCTCGCCAGGCGTATTTTATTGCATCTGGTGATGAGCTTTGTGAACACCGGACCCTGTTTTTACTGTTTTTCTGTTGATGCACTTGCGAACCATTTTGAAATTATGGGGTGGGGTGGGGGGGTGTATGAACGTTCATGTAGACTCTAAGCAGAAACGACTGCGTTGATGTCAGGCACTGACAGTTGGCAACATATTACGTGATGGATTTTGTGTTGGCACAAATGTAATGTGATACGTCATGGGACTTGGGGTGGGGTGGGGTGGGGGGTGGGGGCGTATGAACCTTCATGCAACGTAGACTCTAAGCGGAAACGATTGCGTTTATGGAAAAGATGTTAGATATTACGTTATGGGATATGGCTGGAGGTAGGACAGAGGTTACATTCGGTTACATGTGACGTTGAGCTGTTTGCGTTGACAGGGTAAAGATGTTACATGTTACGTTAAGTTGTTTGTGTTGACCGGGTGAAAGATGTTACATGCTACGTCAAAAGATATGGCTGTAGTTAGGACAAATGATGGACAGATGCTGCATGTTATGTCAAGTTCTGTGTGTTGGCCGAGTAAAGATATTACATGTTACATCATGGGCTATGGCTGGAGTTAGGACAGATGTTATATTACATGTTACGTTAAGTTCTTTGTGTTGGTCGAGTAAAGATATTACATGTTACGTTAAGTTCTTTGTGTTGACAGAGTAAAGATGTTACATGTTACGTCATGGGATATGGCTGCAGTTAGGACAGATGTTGCATGTTACGTTAAGTTGTTTGTGTTGACCAAGTAAAAATGTTACATATTTCTTGTTTCGGGCTACTGGTCGACAGTTGCACAAAGAAGCCTTTGGATGAAAACGCTCCGGAAAAAAACCTTAGATAAGCATAGCATGCATACATCATAACAAAATGGCCCGAAACCCAAGTTTTAATTAAACACTTGGAGAAGGGAATCTGATCAAATTCCTTGCAAATAGGAAGTTGCAATTCGCATGGACATTCGACTGTAAATTAAGGTCCGAATAACCCCCCGGACGGTTGTTTATGGTGGCTCTACTTGAGCTGCAGGGCAAGAACCAAGAAATACCGCTTAAGTATAGAACAAAAAATCAACACACGGGCAAAAGTTCCAGCCGGTGATATGTTGCTTTATATCTCCATTTTGCTGGTGGTCTTACCTTTTATATACCTTTTATATGATGGTTTAAACCACTATCAAGCCATCAACATGCCTGAAATTGCTAGCAACCCATGGATTTTTTGTGGATGAAATCTCGGTTGGTGGTGAATTCCCCGAGACTTGTCCCGAAAAGCCACAGTGAAAACCAGCCCATGGCGCCCCTCTCGGTGGTCCGACTGGTTGGCACATGCACGGGAACGCGGAAAGGCTTGTCTGGACGCCTAAGCTTAGGCGAACTTGGATTTCTTGGACCGGGCCACGGCCGAAGTTACTACAGTTGTCCACGAGGGATGGTTCATTAAGGGGGGATTATATATGATGATTACCATCTAGTGTTTAACAGTTCGCCATGGAAAATGAACATGTTTAATAGGTAAACCATCTATTTCTATGGGCCATTGTCCATGGCTATGTTAAATAACCAAAGGGGTAATTATATATGGTTATAATCATCACTGGTTTACCCTCCGCTAATGATGGTACTGACTGTAATGACTAGCACTTTGCAAATTGGAGGCCATGGCCCACCATGATCTTTCAAACAAATCCTTAAAGCAACTGGGATTGGTTGGCAGGTCTGGTCCAACACGTTCCCCAGAAAGCTGATGAGAATATGTTGACGAACTGCCGACTACAACTGACCATGTTCGGTTAACATGTGTTAAAATCACAACTATGGTCTTTGCAACAACAATTTTGAGTTGTTGTTGGATGTTTAACCAATTTGTAAGCATTTGTGCAACAGTGACCAGCCCCAGGCCCTAACTGATCGACCCTGAGAATATGCAAGGAAGTAGCCTTTCAACTCCCATACCAGGGTCGATCAGTTGCTTCGGATAGGACCAGACTGACTGATTGACATATTCTCAGAGCTATGAATCATAAAATCTGAGCAAATTATGGGGACGCCTTATATATTTTATATGACATTGCTCTGTGAGGAAGAGCTGTTTCAAACGTGGTTTTTCAACCCATTGGAAATTGAAATCTGCTAGATTTCACATTGGGAAGCGTTACAGTATATTATCGTGAGATATCCTTAATCCGACCCAATCAGATTGGCATCCCAACGCTGGTATCTGGAAAGACATCCACGTGAAACTTCGCGATGCCACCTGCGCCGACCAGGCAGTGACCCGGCTCCGCGGGCTCCGCGGGTTCCGCGGGCTCCGCGGGCTCCGGTCTCGGGGTCCGGTCTCGGGGTCAACGGATAGGTAGCTTTGGTAAAAAAAACTAGGTCCGCTAGGTGAAATGAAACTTATGATGGATAAACAATGGATGAAGAATTGGATCTTACGATCCAATTCTGGATTTGGTTACTGTAAATGGAGACAGGAAACCCAGGGTTCTTTCATGTTATTTCCCTAACTGCAAGGCTTTCCGGTTAAAGTTCCCTTCAACCAATTCTGGGAACCCTGAAAAACATGATTCCTAGCTGGGCAAGTTCACTTACGCCCATGACAATGGCAAACAAAATCAAACGCATAAAAAATAAAACCACCCCATCAAGGTTCTCCAGCATTTGGCTGGTATTCTCAGCATGGTAAAGCAATGTAAAGCATATGGCTGCTTCAAAACTATCACTACTTGCAGTAACTATTGCTACTCAAATACGACAATCATCTGATATTTGGGAGAAGCAGTTTCTTTGGCACATTCTTCATTTGAATCATTCGGCTTTCCCGATCACCTTCCAAAAGTTAAGGAAACTTTTGCAGGTTCTCTGATGTAAATGGCTAAACACCAGATCTGGGCGCCCAAATCTTCCATGGCTAAATCTTAGATACCCTACCGACGCCGTTTCTTTGCTGTGGAATATGTATTCCTCCCTGATTCTTCCAGTGGCGGCATGCCGAACCACCTGGAGGAAGCCGAGGACAAGAGGATACGAAGTCCAAAAATCTGGACCTGGGCTCGGTCAAGTGGTGTGCCAATGTGCCTTGAAAAGTGGCTTGATAGTTGCACCAAACATAGGGAAAGTATGGGAGAATTTGATCATCCAGTGGATGGACTGGGGGTCCTATGTTCAGAACCAGATTTGTAGATAGCAGGGGCCAAGAAAAAACCCTGTGCCATTCTTAAAGTCATCTCTTGTGCAGTATAGTATACTTTGCCGAGCTTGGGCCAGGTACGAAGAACCATGTCTTGAACCAACTTCAGCCAGGCCCAAGCCAACTTGCCCAATTTGCTTGAGTTTGATTTCACAAGTCCATCAGCAAAATTCATACGATACTGAAAACATGTAACTAAGAATCGAATTGAAACACACATATACATACATACATACATACATACATACATACATACATACATACATACATACATGCATACATACTTACATACATACATACATACATTACATTACATTACATTACATTGCATTGCATTGCATTGCATTGCATTGCACTACATTCCATTCCATTCCATTACATTGCATTACATTACATACATAACATAAATTGCATACATACATTACATACATTACATACATATATGCATGCATGCATGCATACATACATACATGCATGCATACATACATACATGCATGCATGCATACATACATTACATTACATTACATTACATTACATTACATTACATTACATTACATTACATACATACATACATTACAGACATACATACATACATACATATATATATATATATAGTGTGTATATAATATGTATATAATAATAGTAGTAATTATTATCATATATATATATATATATATTATGTAAGATCTTGACACCCGCCCCGCAGATCATCAGCATAGCACATCATCAGCGCAGCATGAGCGTAGCATCTGGTAACGTTCGCGTGTGTACATTGGTAAATGAACGTTTCTGCCCCAACCCCACCCCACCACGAGGGGCCATCTAACCCCCTGGAACAATAATTGTAGCATGACACCTCATGTCTGACGTGTATCTGAAACGGCAGGAAACAAAACAAACGATTGGCACAGTGAAATTTCAATTAAAATGCTTCAAAAACCAATGCAAAACGCATGTTAAATGCGTGGAAAACACGCGGCCGTCTACCAAGCATGTGCCATCTTCGTTATACATGTTTATACATGGATCATCTACACATAAATCATAAATTACTGTACCATTTTCTTTGGGGTTTTCTAAAATGGGGGTACCCCATTTTATCATCAACGTTAATAGGATTCTCATGGATTTCCCATTATAAACCATCCATTTTGGGGTACTGCATGGAAACCGCCTAGCACGGCTAGGAACCCCAGACCGCTCGGCCTGACCCAATTCCAACAGCACGGCCTTGGAGATTCGGCAGAGAAACCCGGTCTGTCAAACAGGAGGGGTTGTTTAGATTTCAAACATCCAAGTTATAGTGGTGAATCACCATCTTTAGCCATCAAAAAAGGAATAAAATGGAATAATTACTCATAAAGGAACGATTTCATCAATAAAACGGTAAATTTAGGCCACATGTTCAATCCATGTTCGCCAATTTTGCTGCAGTTTACCATCGCAACTTGTGTTTTTTTCCAATGATTTAGGCTAACATGGTGATCTTAGTAGATTCATCCCGGCAAACCTGGACATTTTCCAACTTTTCTGTTTATTTTTTTTTGGGTTGCTATACGCATCATGTCTGAAAATGTGGCATCCGTTTTTCCATGGTTTATATATATATAGGATGGGCATTAAGCGGCATTTTGTTGTACGAAATTGAAAAAACCCTAACCATGACCACCTAAAACTTTACCAAATTCATCAGCTGTGGGCCCAACACTTTGAAAAAGGATTGCGGGCTGAGATCATCAAATCCCCATAGCTCTCTCAATAGGATTGCTTGAGGGATAATTTAGAGGGAACCATGGTTTCTACTCAGAATCTCAACTGTTCACCGCGAATCTTTTCCTTCAACCTCCAGGACACAGGCTGTGGACTGAGGCTACGAGCCACCAAGAATTTGTAGGAAGGCGACTTTTCCGTCAGACCACCGGTGGGGTGAATGTGATTCAACCTGGCGGAACGCCGAATTGCGTGGAGCGATCCCTGGTCTTTAAGATCCATGTGGCTGCTTGGACTGGGGTGCTATTTCCACGATGGTATAATGTTGGATTCCGATTAGTGTCATGGGACTCTATTCCAAAAATTACTAATTATTGAGTATTTCCTGGCATATTGTAAACAACTCAATTGTGAGAAGTTTTTTCTCAGATTCAATTTCTTTTCAGGAGGAGCTTTATCCACCTTTATACACCTTTTTTTGGGTAAAACTGGTCCATTTACTGTAGAAAACCATATCCATGAAAAAACATGGCAAATGCAGGTATCCTAAATAATTAGATGCCTTATTAAACCCTTATTTCAAAAACACTGCCCAAACAATTTTTCATGGGGGTACCTCATGAGTGGCCCAGATCCTCAATAATGTAATTGTTTCGATGGTACCCTATTGTGCACAAAAAAAAAGTGGGGTGAAAAAAACACAAAACCCATTATCCACCTTTCTTTGGGTAAAGCTGGTCCATTTACTTTCGAAAACCATATCCATGTTAAAACCTTGAAAGTGCAGGTTTCCTAAATAATTGGATGCCTTATTAAACCCTTTTTTAAAGGCACCACCCAAACAATTTCTCAAGGGGGTACCCCATGAGTGACCCAGATCCTCAATAATGTAGTTGTTTCAATGGTACCTTATTGTGCACAAAAACTTTTGGGGGATTTTTTGGGTGGATTTAAAAAACAATCAATTGAAAGTAGATTCAAACGAATTGAAAGTCAATTGGTTTCAAATGAAATCCTTTCTTATCAATAGATTTCTTTGAAATTTAAAAGGAAAATCAATTGAAAGTAGATTCAAAGAATTGAAAGTAATTTGATTTCAATTGATGTCCGTTCTTATGAATACATTTCTTTGAGGTTGAAAAAGAAAATCAGTTGAAAGTAGATTCAAATGGATTGAAAACCAATTGATTTCAATTGACATCTTTTCTTATCAATATATTTTTGAAGTTTAAAAGGAAAAGCACTTGAACGTAGATTGATTTCAATTGAAAGCCTTTCTTACCAATATATTTTATCGAAGTTTAGAAGGAAAATCAATCGAAAGTAGATTCAAATGAATTGAAAGTTAATTGGTTTCAATTGAAATCCTTTCTTGTCAATAGATTTCTTTGAAGTTAAAAAGGAAAATCAATTGAAAGTAGATTCTAACGATTTGAAAGCAAATTGATTTCAATCGAGATCCTTTCTTATCAATACATTTCTTTGAGGTTTACAAGGAAGATCAGCTAAAAGTAAATTGATGTGAATTGAAATCCTTACTTACGTTGGCTATCCTCAAATTTGTTGATGTGGGCGTTTAAAATGTCGAGTTATTGAGTAGCCTAAAATTGTTGGGGGGGCCTACACCAATCAGTATCCAACATTACCGGCGTTAGGGGGTCCTGCGCCTTGTCCATATTCATTACGTCGCCCTCAGCTGCATGATCCAATAAAATTGATCAGTACTGGGTGTAGCTCGGCCCTTTTTTGGGGCCATGGGATAGACATTTCTCCACCTTTGTGTCGGGCGAAGAGTTGGGCGCCCGCGGAAAAACAGACATATATACATGACGGTTTGCCAAAATGTCTTTTCCTGGTTTGGTTGATAAATCGTAATTCCTTGCGTGCCGCTTCTTATTTGGTCTTTAAAGCCATGATCTACCTAAATAGTCTGAAACCCTGCATTGTATCTTTCATGTTTGAAGCCGTAGCTAAAAACTGCAGTAAATGCTAGCGCACTTCCATATGAAGTGGGTGCCGCTGCTAGTCAGCAGTGGTGGAACTGGAATATCTGCAGGGTTTGTCGTTGTCTTTGCTGTCGCTGCTGCTTTTGTCAAACAGGCAGGATAAACTACAAGTTCTCTAGTGGCGACTGGGTCACGGGTCAGCCAAAGCCGTTTTGCGAAGTTTTTGCTAGCGCATTGCTAGCGGGGATCTAGCGGGTAAAATTACGTACAAATTCGCCAAATTGAGCCGCAACCTGGAAAATTTAGGGAAATTGCTGGGTAGCACAGAGATTCACTAAGACATCATTAGGTTTAAGGAGCTAAGCGTTACATCTTGACTTTCCTTCATTTTGAAAAAACACGCAGACAGGACACACAAAAAAAACCTTGCACATGGCTGTGAAAAAAAAACTAGCGCAAACCTAGCGGGTTTGCTAGCGTTGCCTTGCAGAATTGGTGAATTTAGTTGCGTGCCGCCTCATAACGAAAAGGAAAATCCACTAGGTCCACACTAATTGTCAACAACTAGTACCAATCTTCTGTCAAATATTTTTGGCAAATGGTCACATACTTTGGCGACCATCAATGTGGATGATCCAATTTCTCAAGATCTTCATTTTGTTGAAACTAACAAGGGCCCCCAAAAAATCCAATACTGTATCCCCTTTTTTCCCGACAACATTATAAGCCTGCCAAAAATTCCAGTGGGACAAGTTGATTCCAAGCTAGTAGTCAGATCGCGTGCAACAGCGCCGGACTTACAATGCTTGTTCATCCCAATCGATGCGATCTTCACCACCTCGTTGAAGGTGGGATCTGAAAGGAACACACCGCAGCTTGAGGATAAACATCAATACCAAAAACATACACCCAAATTACCCAAATGAAGACATAGGAAGATGTTCATTTACTTCTAAGTCGGGTACAGTAGCCTTTACTGTGTAAAAAATCATGACCTTCTGGTTCGGTACCAGTTGAAAAAAACAGTCATGTTCTTGGGTACCCGCGATTTATCAACTGGGGTCATAGCTGCCCTTGGCTGTCGTGCCCTTATACACACCAAAGAGATCCAAAGAGCTGATAAAATTGGAACATGTGTACAATCCACTTACCATGTCTGAGTTTCGTCCTTGCATGATATATAATTGCATCAAATCTGTTCATGTCTAATCTTGGCTACCTTGCACACTAACAAAACAGTTACCTTCTGAAGCTAGACATGATTTCATCACATTTGTAGCAAACACACACCACATTTGACGAAATTTAAGAAAAAAAATCTGCCGGAACCACGAGATGTGGAAAATCCCTGGAATTCCTGGTAGACATGTTCCTTTTCATTTCCCCATCCCTATAGGAATCACCAGCTTCGGTGTTTAATCCATCCCAACACAAACGCAGCCGTGCCGGGAATCCGGGAACCCCAAGCAAAACATCTCCCTCAGCTCAGTCCGCGTGAAGGCCTGGGCTGAATTTCAGGGAACTGTTGGGAATCCATGTCGTGGAACTTAAGTCCTTGGATTTACTGAGGCAAAAGAGGTATCTGATCAAAGGAAGTTGGGAAACAATCTTCCGAGTTACGGATGATTTTTATTCAAGTGACTTTACATCACATAACAATACATCATGCAGGGCGGCGTGAGACTTTACATCACATAACACATCATGAAGGGTGGTGTGAGACTTTACATCACATAACAACATAACAATACATCAAGGGAAGTGGTGACTATGACGAAGGGTGGTGACCTAGGGAAGTGGTGACGAAGGGAATACTATGGTGACTTTGGGAAGTGATGACTTAGGGAAGCAGTGACCCAGGGCAGTGGTGACGAACGACGAGGGGTGGTGACCTAGGGAAGTGGTGACGAAGGGACTGGGAAGTGGTGACTTAGGGAAGCAGTGACCCAGGGCAGTGGCGACGAAGGGAAGCGGTGACCTAGGGAAGTGGTGACACGAAACCTAGTGTTTTTGTGGGTAAAGTGGCTGCAGTTCTCTGCGCTTGTGGACTCCCTGGTTGCAGATCGCATTGTAATGGCTGCATGAATGTTGCATGGGATTCATGTTGGGGAGGAAGCCGGAGCACAAAACCTTGTGTTTTTCCGTGTAAATTGGCTGCAGCCGGCCATGAAGGGCAGCTTCTATGTGAGGCGGGTGCGGCTTGGATCGTTTCAACGCGTAATCGGTTCTTCCATGGTGTTCTGCAACGTTTGGATGCCAATCGCATTGTAGTGGCTGCATGAATGTTGCATGGGACCCATGAATTATATGTATACTTAGTTTATTGATTTCTGAACTAGTGGAGAAACCATTAAGTTGTTGAAAAAAACATCTTCAGCAAATCTTCATATAAGGTGCTGGTTCATTTGAGATGATTAATCCTTGTGAATCCCAACTGTCATAGGCTTTTACAAGTGGTTGTTAAACCCCAACGGTTGGGGGATACTCTTTGGGAGGGAGCCCCAAAAATCCTATGACACGATGACCAACTTACGAGCACGCTAGGATGTACAAAGGGCATCTCTGAATCCATTGGTTAATCATCATTATTATTGGTCAAGCATCATTGTCATGATCCCTGTTGGCCCTGTGGATCATATAATCTATTGGGTTAATCATTATCCTGTGAATCCAATCCATTGGCTCCACCCCAACAGTGGAGTTTGGATATGCTTGGGTGATTGACAGGGCTTGTCCAGCCAAGGTAGAAAACAAACAGAACAGATTCGAAGGTAGCAGCCAGCCCATTTTTCCAATACACATTACTCCATATTAAGGTCGCTAAATCAGCTAAATCCCACATGATATGTTTTAGATGCAGGTTAAAACGTAGTTGCTTTGTTGCTTCATGTACTTAAACATATTGCACCCGTTCTAGTACATTTTGGGAAAATGGGTGGTCACGATTTCCATATTTCTTGAATCCTTGCCAACTGATCGTTAAACCATTTTTGCTCAACAACACCCATTCTGCATCATTCTACCCATTTCTGTTAGTTATATAATTTCCCGAACCAATGGGTTCTGAAAAGACAGCCCCAAACACAAAGAACAGAACAAGATCATGAAACAAAATCGCTTTCCCCCAGAACTTGCTCTCCAGCCTTGAGGGCGTTGAAGGGGAAAACGTCGTTCAAGCCAGCGCGGAAGGCATTCACCTGAGTCTGGGTTGAATCGGAGCCAAACCATGGAGTGAATGGAGGTGGAACATGGTGGAACCACATCTTGTCAGAACATCCTAAAGTCTAAAGGAGATAGGAAAGCTTGGGAAAGTACATGGATGCCATGGCATCTTTTATCAAACCAAGTAACTCTGGTCAACGGTTTTAGGGTCTGAAGGAGCTACAATTCACCAGCTCAGGCTCCGTTGTTACCAGTTGTCCCCGTCCAAAGTGTGCGAATCTCAACCAACTATTAGCGGGATCACATGCTGGTCCAGTAGGATCACTGTGCCATAGGCACCAAATACGTAGACGTGTTCCCAATTAGCAAGCGTTTTTAAATATAGTGACGATATCTGATAAAATAAACCTACGACAGCCACAACTATAACATTTATATAGGTTTATATCACTGGGGATAAGCCATGTAGTACATATATAAATATAGCTGGTTTCAACTCCGGTTTCTACCCATTTACAATTCCCAGGTCCGGCATCCCCAGGTCATGTCCGGTGACCTGTTCGCGAACGCCGGTGTTAAACCAGAAATTTGCTGCCTGCCGCGAGCAGAACATCTGTGTGGCTGGAATTAGGGGAATCAAGTATAGCAACTAGAATTCCTCCATTTATTGATGATTTCCCTATTAAAAGCTCCAGCTATCATCATTTAAAGAGGATTTTCGATTAGCACTTTTGATTAACAAAGGGTAGTTGAAAACCATCCATGCGTATCATTGATGTGGAGCCATGTCCACGGTACTGGAATTCAGTGGCCCACTGCACTGGAATTCAGAGTTCCTGGAACGGCGAGGGATGGACAGTGGACAAGAATCACAGTTGTCCTGGCTGATTGAGGCAGCATGTGAAAGTTATTGAGCATGCATGCAGTAAAGAAAAGCTAAACAAAGACGGAACGATGCCCGCAAAAATGTGGACACACCCACACACACTAGACAAAAACTGGATCATTATAGTGATCCGTTGGGAACTGAATCCCATGACGTGCAATTGGACAAGAATAAATGAAAAATTCAGGTTGGGTTTCTCGGCTTAGCCCCTTGCCATTGCAGTGGAAAATCGATGAAAATCGTGCAGGTACGCATGGCTGATCAGGCCATGTATCACCAGGGGGACTAGAGCGTCTTCGTTGGTGGTAAACTCTGGACCCTGCTACCACCCCCCGCTATATGAAAAAAGGAAAATTGCAGAAGTTTTACATCTATTCAGATGTTACACACACACACACCCGGCCGGAGCCGGGTCAACCCTGAAAGGCAAGAGGAAGAAAAAAGCGGACACACACGACGGGCAAAAGGACAAAACAGCGCAGGGGGGGAAGGGAACAAACGGACCTCCAAAACCAACCTACACGGAGAGACGGGCCTAACCAGCACAGAGCACACACCTAACCCCCACGACACATTACAGCGGGGCACGGGGGATAATTAGGGACCAAACGGGGAACTAGTTGATGAAGAGAAGTGAAACAACAACAAAATAATGGGATTCAGTTCAAAACCTAAAAATTGCGCGTTGTTCTCTCAAACAGGACCGTTGTCGATCAAACCACATGGGCAGTAAACAGCTGTTCAAGTTCAAGTGAATTAGGGGCACCATATGTTTGACTTCACCAGAAGCCAAAGAAAACCATACCTGCAGGAAGAGGACATGCCTGTTGCCTTCAGTATCGCTTGTCATGTAGTAATGCGAAAAGCTTGGGCAGCAACAGAGAAAAGTTTCTGGCTGTTTGGTGTGGCTCCATTCAAGAATAGCTGCAGGTTCCAAGGGTTCACAAGGACCGAGAGGTCGCAAAACGGTGGAGAACGGAATGGCCAACTGTTTCCCTATAGTTAGACGAATTACCAAATTAAAATGTGTAAATTCGGAAGTCAGGTCTGTCCACATTCACCTTAAGAAAGCTTCCCTCAAGTGGGTCCATGGCACCATGTCGGAGCCACCATGGAAATCACACTAGACAAGAACTGGATCATTATAGTGATCCGTCGGGAACTGAAGCCCATGACGTCCAATTTGGACAAGAATAAATGAACCATTCAAGTTGGGGTTCTCGGCTTAGCCCCTTGCCATTGCAGTGGAGAATAGTGCAGGTACGCATGGCTGATCATCACCAGGGAGACCAGAGCGTCTTCGTTGGTGGTAGACTCTAGACCCTGCTACCACCCCCTGCTAGATGAAAAAAGGAAAACTGCAAAGTTTTACACACATTTCAGATGTTGCACACTTGTGCACACACACACATATATATATATAGAAACGTTTGCAATGTGAAAACTGACAAACATATGCGAACAATTGTGAACGCATACTCGCACACACTCACACAAACAAAAAAGTGGACAAACGCGCGGAAAATCGCAACAACCATGTTGACCAAGAATTCAACAAACATTTAACATCATTTTGTTATTTATCCTATTTGAGTTTCCACCAAATTTTGGCCCAAAACAGTGGCCAAGCTCCAATCAAAGAACAAGTCAACGGCTGCACTGGCCCGTAGAGAGTCCCTTCATAGGGGACCGGGTTTCATCAGCACTTCAATTGTGGTTTAAGGAACGCCCAACAAATTTGAGGGGGGCCTAATGAAACCAACTACTGTACCCCACCAAGCCAGGGTTCATCCAGCAATTTTCCATAATTTTCCAATGGTGACTGTATGATTACCCTGTGTCGGAGGATTCTAAAGGCCAGTTGACTGCCTGGGGGTGCATCTCACTGAGTACATGGGCAAAGAGTCACCCATAGATTATTGGGATCTATGATGTATCCCATACGTATTACTGGGATTTACTGGGGTAATTAACTCATATGGTCCTAAGGACCATTGAGCAAGTTGGAGTTGTGGGACTACTCAACACGTCAATCCGGTATATTGTTGTTACTCCCCCCGTTTCTGGAATATAGTTCTGTCGGTATTTGATTACCGGGAGACATTCAAAGCCTAGACTGGCTAAAAAGGTATCCGAGCGGGCCATTGACCATACCATATCAACTTTTTTTTCTCCACACCTCTTCCACGAATCGTGTGACCTCAATGTACGGGGGCTTCTTGGGGCACCCGCAGCGCCACATGTTGTGGCAACCAACAGAGACGAGGTGTAAATAGGGATTTCAGCTATTTTCTCTAGGTTCACTATGCTGATTGAGGACCAATAAAACAAAGATAATGTTTGTATCACCCAGCTGTGGTATCATTCTCTTGTGCTTTTTCTCTGTAACCCATATTTTTGGATGGACTCATGCCAACGATCGTGAGATGGTTCCACGGGGAATTCAAGCCCCAGATTTCCGCCATTGGAAGGCTAGGTCAGCAATGTATCTCTTTAGATGGCAAAGAAAGGGACCCCTAGTCTTGTGCTTTGCCAAAGTTTTCTTTAACCAAGCTAGCAGGTTGGTGTGACTTTTGACCTAGCAGTGTGAGAATACCATCTGAAACAAAGATTCGATTAACATTAACCAGCTAAGCCTTTTTGAATCTTTGGATTTGGATGAGGCAAAAACTTCCCAGCATGATCAAACGGACACAACAACATTTGAGTTGCTAGCAGGGAACTACAGACTATCAGGATCATGAACTGATGCGCAGTGAAAGCATGTAGCAGCCCACTGATCTCCAGAATGGTCCTACTGGTTGGCACTACAGTACAACTTACAACAGAGTTCACAAAGAAGCATCTTGTCACTGGCCTCCCCAAAAAACTATCACAATTTTCAGCAGATATCCGGCCACATCACATCGCCCAAGGGGCGTTGTCTGCGGTGACCGCGATGCTATCCCCTTCTGGACAGAGTTCAGCACCACCTGGGGTCTTTGGACTTTGGCGTATATCAACCTGAAATGGGTCAAAATTTTGGTACCAATATCCAATGGGCCCGCAATCATGAAAATTGGTCATTGTTCAGATTCCAAACATCATTCCGGGTAGCTGGCAATATCGATCATCCCGCCCATATGGCCGGGATATCATTTTGAACAGTAATTTATCTCTTTTGGGTGCGCCTCCGGATCAATCAAACCAGGTTTAGCATCCGGAGAAGCGCTTTCCCATCGGAACAAATTCGGCAAATATCTGCAAACAAGTTTCCAATTGCAACCACGCAAGGGTAGCAAATTCTAATGTTTCGATAACCTTTAATAATCAAACATGGCAATGAGAAATCATGCATTTAGTTCGGTTTTCCATAACCTGCAGGAAACCTGCGCGATTTTTCTCATTTTTTCTCTGGGGCTTTCCTGTAAAAGTTCCCTTAAACATCCTTAAACCATTGAATACTGGTTGGTGGTTTTAACCCCTCTGAAAAATATGAAAGTCAGTTGGTGTGATGAGATTCCCAATATATGGAAAAATAAAAGCCAGAATAGTACAATGATCATATCCACATCCTCTCACCATCAGCCCCGTTCCCCAGGCAGCCCGGACTTAAGCCCGTCTCCAGGAAGCAAAGCCCCACCAGCTGTGTGTACTCGTTGAAGGACATGGGCCTTGGCTACGAATCGGCTTTCGCAGGGCCCTGCCATAGACTGCCAATATAACGGATCTATAAGTATACTAAATATCTCCAAATAGTCCCTTCCCCCTAATATTCACCTCCTCAATGCTTCCCATGTCTAAATTCCCAGAACACATGGTTTCTGGTGGGTGTTGGGAAGGTATTCTAAGGACCCAAGCTGGTCAAAACCGTTGTAACCCATCTACATAGATGAGCGGTATGAACCTCCAAGCACCATATCCTACATATCCTACAAATCTAATTAGCCGTGACCTATCAATACACTGGGAAAATTTATAGGTAAGGACACACAACTACATCAACTACTTTCAAGTAATCAAATAAATAAGGATAACAACAAGTATATAGCGATATTCTTAGGCTACTACATGGTGATACCACCCGCATTATGGGAATACATGGGGTAAAACGATGCATCTAGAAATGGGTTGTTTAATGAAATAGCTAAAGGTAACCCACCAAAAATACAATAGGCGTTCCGTGCACCCCTGGGTTAATGGTGGTCGGTCAGGAAACCATGGGGGTAGCTGTCTCGAACCCGGATGAAAACACGGCTCCTCTACCCACTGGTTTCGATATGTCATCGAGGTTAGTATTGGATAATCTAATCATCCTGAAATCATGCGGGGTGATGTGAACTCAAAAAGGGGGATGGGATTCGTATCCCATCAGTGGATCCCATTATAGTTAAAAGGTGACTAAGTGTCAATTGTTGAAACCTAGCAGAAGTATGTTTTTTTTAAGCTGCTTGGCTTGGTGAATATATCCATTTACATAAACTAGTCAAAGACCCATTCAGTTGGTTTCTCCGTATTTTTGACAATGAATTCCCAGTTCTTCCTGGCCCTAATTGTCATGGTTAATTTAATCCTTTTCCATCCAATCGATTCATTAATTCCCACTACCAGTGGATGTTTCACCATCCTCAAACCGCACAAAAACCTGGCCCGCCCAACACCACTCCAGTTCACACCACAAAAAAGTTCATGGTAATACAAAATCAGTTCGGAACTCAAATACCGGGGTAGTCCAGTTGGTTATAAGTTAATCCCATCTCCCTAATATTGAACACTTCTGGAAACCCCTGGGGTCAGCTACCCTTGTCCCAGTCTTCCCAGTCTTCCCAGTCGTAGGCGGGGCCCCTACTCCTGCGGACTGGCATCGGGTCGATCGCTGGCCGTCAAAAAACGTTCTCCGAAGTCGGACTTGTCGGCCTTTTGTTTGCGAGTCGGAGCTTTTTGGATCATTTGGGGGTCCAAGTTCCATAGTGGGAAACCTCCATATAATATAAAAAATATAAATATAATATCAATTTAATAATGGTTATTAATGGATGATTAATGTTGGAAAAATGCCATAAACCATCCATGTCTGGGAATGGCTTATACCACCTATAAGAATGGTGAAATTGGAGATGGTTTTTTACCAACATTAAATGATATCAATCTGGGTAAATGGTACAAAAATATATAATATTTCACTAATCTGAAAAACATGTTGGGATTCCAGTGAGGGAGAGCTGAGAGGGCGTTGTCATTTACCTATATCAATGCATACCATGAAACTAAGTAATAAATTGGGAATCGCCTGATTATAATTATAGACCCCGGATGATTGCAGCTAAATCCCTTGAAGTGAACCAATTATCCATGGATTATTGATCTGTGATTATTTCAATTGTTCAAATTATTTTGCATTTTTTACCTATAAATAAGATGTAACCATGATACTAGTATCCTCCATTGAACCCCTATGATATCCCTGGGTCGGTAGATATAAAAAATGCCCATTGATCAGTGCACTGCTTGAGGCTTGGTAGTTTTGATTCCTGGGTATGTCTAGTGACTCTATTGATAATCCCATTCATGGGGCCATCCTCGGATTGCAAATCACCGGGCCCCAAACAACCAGTTAATCATTAGTTTAAAAATGGTAGTTGGCACTGCGATTTGCCACAAAAGATCAAGCTATAAGGCCAACCATTTTACTGAACATCATCTATATACCAGTAGTACCGCACACGGCGGTGGCGGAAGTTTCAAAAATCAGAAACCTATAGGAGAGGTTGGTCGTTGTGAATCACGGATGGCAGAGCGAATCCACTGATGGACCGAAAGGTAGTTGGAGTTGTGGTTTTTGAAGTGGTTGTAGTGGTTGCAGTGGTCACCTCACCACAACTGTTGGATGTAGCGTGGTGTGGTACAGTTGTAGTTGTAGTTGTAGTGATAGTTGTAGTTGTAGTGATAGTTGTAGTTGTAGTGTGGTGGAGTTGTAGTTGTAAGTTGTAGCTGTAATGTGATGTAATTAGTGTAGTGTAGTTGCAGTCGAAGTTGCAGTTGTAGTTGTGGTGTAAATAGTGAAGCGTATTGTAATGTATTGTCGTGTGCTGTAGTGTTTTGTACGGTAGTGTGGTATAGTGTAGTGTAGTCTAGCGTAGTGTAGTGTAAAGTGGTGTAGTTGTAGTTGTAGTGTATTGTTATTAGCGAAGTGTAGCGTAGTGCAGCGTAGTGGTAGTTGTAAGTGTAGTTGCAGTCGCGGTTGTAGTTGTAGTTGCAGTGTAATGCAACGCAATTGGTGTAGTGTAGCGTTGTGTAATGTAGTAAAGTTGTAACTGTAATTTGTAGCGTACTGCATTGTAATTAGTGTAGTGTAATGTAGTGTAGTTGTAATTGTACTTGTAGCTGCGGTGGTAGTAGTAGTAGTAGTAGTAGTTGTTGTTGTTGTTGTTCTTGTTCTTGTTCTTGTTCTTGTTGTTCTTGTTGTTGTTGTTGTAGTGGTAGTTGTTGCTGTAGTCGTCTGCCTATCTATCTATCTATATATCTGTCTGCCTGTCTGTCTATCTGTCTATCCATCTATCCATCTATCCGTCTATCCATCCATCCATCTATCCATCCATCCATCCATCTATCCATCCATCCATCCATCTATCCATCCATCCATCGATCTATCTATCTATCTGTCTTTCTGCAAGCTTGAAAACGCAGCAATTCTGCGATTCCTCAGTTTTTGAACTTGGCAACATCAAAAACGCAGCAATTCGGCGAGACATCCTCACTTTTTGAACTTGACAATTTCAAAAACGAAGCAATTCTGCGAGACATCCTCAACTTTCGAAGTTGATAACATCAAAAACAAAGCAATTCTGCGAGACTTCCTTCAAAAATTGAAAGTTGAGTGCAGAGCTGAAGGCCTCATACCAATGCGTTTTGCGATTAGTCCAATCCATGTGTCTAAAGTATTGCGCCTGCCTCGAAAAAGTGAAGCCAGGTCATACGAAGTGCTGCACCTGTCACACATAATCATCTTACCAAACCTGAAAATCTGACGCTCCAAAATGCAACCCATCTCAGGAAATCTTCGCCGTGACCTCCGAACATCTCGCATGAACATGTCTCTTGTATTGCGCCTGACACGCGAAATGCGTCTTTACGGATCCGCTTCAAATGTCCACACCTGCCATTGTTTTTGGAAATGCTACAAATCCCTTACATCTTTCTCACTTTTGACAAGGTGCAGAATCCCGTGCGCAGGCCACACGAAACGGTCCAAAAGTGGTCCGAACATGTGGTGTTTGTAACATTTTGACTTGGAAATGTGCTTCGCACCACAACCGCGTACACTTTTTCGACATCTCAACTTCCAAAAGTGCTCCGAGTATGGTGTGTTTTGTGATTTTGACTTGACTTGGACATGTGCTTCGCGCCACATCAGCGTGCACTTTTTCGACATCGCAACTTCCAAAAGTGCTCCGAGCATGAGGTGCTTTGCACATGTTGACTTCGAAATGTGCTTCGCGCCACAACAGCGTGCAACTTTTCATCTCTCATCTGGCCAGATGGCTCCGCACCCGCGGCTTTAGGGAGCCTACTTTTCGACCCTCCGGAGCCCCAAAACATTGGAACAACACAGTGTTTCGCGACTTTCCTACCTTTTCGCGCACCTGCATCTTCTTTCTTCTCACTCTTTCTCTTCTCTGATCTTGTCTCTTCTTCCCTTCTCCCCTCTGACTCTTCCCACCTCTGCTTTTTCCATCTGTCCATATTGTTGGAAGTTTGACTTCTAAACTTCCTTCGGTAATATATATATATATGTGATGGGATAGTGGTTAGCGGTTTCAAACCATCCCAAAATAAGCTCGTCAATTTGGATCATCATCACAAACAAGGAAGATAAAACATGATTGAAACTTTCAGCCAGGACATGGTTTAAATGGCACAAGCACGCCTAACCTTTATATTATACTTAATTATAGAAACAAGTCTTGTTTCTACGTCTGCAAGACATTCTCCCTTGTAATAGCTTATGTATAACTCTCGTCATTTCCTCACTTTTATGTTTCAATTCATTACTAATCGCCACGCGCAACCTTACTAACCTAACCACAAAACCTCTCTAACCACACATGGTAAAAACTTAAACAAACAGCAAAAATGGTGAAATGTTTCAGGACAGTGTCTGTTTCCGCCCATTTGTTTGAGGACAATTTCTGTTGTTCCAATTGCACTGATGGTGCGTCAGGCTCAACCATGTGGTATATGAATGTGAGATCTTGCAACTCACACGTCCCAATGAGCTGAACCATGCCATCTTTGGCGCAATCAACCAGAGTGAACATGGTGAGGAAAGACGTTCGAATGTCTTCCCGAAGAAAGCTTCAACGCAGCTGAGTGTACTGAACATGTCTAGCGCGGCAGTAAACACAGGTGGCACCTTTGCAGCACCCTGAAGTGGGCTGTGCTCATCACGCAGCTGAACGTGCTGAAGATGTTGAACTGATAACTTGCTGCATGAGCTAAATCTCTAAATTCAATCTTGAGCAGTGTTCGGCCGAGAAAAGGTTCATACAGGTGCTCGTCTATCTCACACTTCCACTCAACAAGGGAGGGGATCCAACCTTCCAATATATGTGTCAGATCCAACATGCGTCACTCACGGCCTGTGGGTCGAGACTAAAATTCATGCACGTAAGTTCGACATGGATCTCTTTGATGACAACTATGATTATACTGACCAAAAAATGTGTGCAAGTAAGTTCTGTGTTCATCTATTTTTGAGATCTGTGTGATGGTGCATGCATGTTTTGCTGTGAAATGCCACCTTGCACTGGGCATGGACATTTGTTGTAAGTGTGAGCCAGAACAAATGTAGTGGCGTATATATATATGTGTGTGTATATTACTTCGCTGTGCTTCTGCCTAACCTTATGCAGAATATATACATGTTTGAAAACGTTTAAATTAGGGTTAGACAATATTAAAGGTTGTATTTTTCGCAAATAAAAGTTAGAAAAAACACGTTGAGGTTACCAAAAACGCATGTAAGGGTTAGAAGTGGCCCTCTTATGTTATATCAATACTAAACTATTATACTATGTTATTTCCCTGATGAATGGTAATGATAGATTAACCATCCCCATTTGTTGCGGTAAGACGAAGAAAAATCTCACCATTGCCACTTGCTTAGAGATGGGCCATGGACAGTATAATTCTGGATAGTGTGTGGCTTACAACACGGTCACCAACATTCACCAACTAATTAACTTAGTACATGGCCTAAATATCTCACCATAACAGAGGTATATGTCCTAATCATTAGACATCACCCAACTACTGGGGATATCATCTCCAATAGGTACTCGAAAGTGTTCAAAATTCCAACACAGGACATTTACCAACTCCTGCATAAAGCCCCAGGAAAAAACTCAATAAAGCTAAGTCCAAGGAAAAAATACTGCAGCTAACAAAGTCACCATGGCCCTCAGCATGGCATCCCCGAATCCTTCACTGCGCGCACCTGTGCGCGTCGCCACGCCTGGCGTTCCTCAGGGCCCTGGGGCTCATTCAGTGCCAAGTCCTGCATCACCACCATGGCACCAGGATGGCTGGATTCAAATGCTGGAAACCCTCAAGAAATATGAAACATGAGGGAATTGAACTAGGAGAATGGGTGATATTTCATAATTTTCAAAGGGGGTAGGTAGCTTATAATGGGGGTACATAGGAATGATTTGATGGGGATAAGTGGGATCAAACAGGGAGGACATACGGTTTGTAATGGGATATAAAAATAGAAAATATATCTAGATCAATCGGATGCAAAATGCGTCAATTTACGGGATACACATGTATACATTCACATATATCATGTATAATTATATATATGTGTGTGTATGCCTGTATAAATATATATATATATACATGTATATATGTAAATAAATATATATATATTTAGAGGTAAATCATTTTATCATGATATATTTGCAAGTAAGAAACCGGCTCAACATGATATGTCCAAAAAATATGGTATACCCGCAAATAGCCCTTTGAATCGACAAAATGAAACATCAAATTGTGGGGCACCCTATTTTCAAACAAACTCCTTTAGGGAAACTTACTTCAGCAGAGTTTGGAATAGAAGTAGCTACTTAGTTTGGGGATCTAAGGTTTTTCTCTGACCAATAATCCCTATAAGGCGGAATCCCAAAATATACTATATACTAAGAACCTGCCAAACGATAGGTAACTTGGCAAACATAACTAGCTGAAAAGGAGTTTGTTTCATGGATAATTATATAGTTAGATGGGTGAACAAAATCAGCTTGCACCGTCTGGGTCTCTTCAGCAAAATCATCTGTTTCAAATTCAGAAGCAACTGTTCGATCATCCGAAAATCTTTGTTTTAAGGGCGAAGGCCCATTGGCACAGTCCTCCAGGAATTCGTTTAGGGCGCCAAGGAGCCTAGGGGCATGAAACAGTTGGCCGAAACCCAGCGATCTCACGGAATTCGTGACAAGTTGGGGCCAAATAGTTGGCCGACTGATTTCCCATCCACAAAAACAGGTGGGCGGCTTCAACTCCAGAATTTTGTTCCTCAATCAATACGGATGATCTTCCGAACAAGGGTGGAAAACAAAACATGTTCGCTGCAACCCTGACTTCAGGTGGCTATGAAGATAAAGTTGATGTTATTACGATAATCAACATATTGATCGTAGGGGGTGGCAAATGTTGATCCCCTATGAAGATAAAGTTGATGTGATGACCCCAATCAACATATTGATCGTAGGGGGTAGCAAATTTTGATCCCTTATGAAATAAAGTTGATGTTTTCACCCCAGTCAACATATTGATCGTAGGGGGTAGCAAATTTTGATCCCTAATGAAGATAAAGTTGATGTTATTACCCCAATCAACATATTGATCGTAGGAGCTGGCAATTTTGATCCCTTATGAAGATAAAGTTGATGTGATTACCCGAATCAACATATTGATCGTATGGGGTGGCAAATGTTGATCCCCTATGAAGATAAAGTTGATGTGATTACCCCAATGAACATATTGATCGTAGAGGGTGGCAAATTTTGATCCCTTATGAAGATAAAGTTGATGTTATCACCCCACTCAACATATTGATCGTACGGGGTGGCAAAATTTGATCCCTTATGAAGATATCGTTGATGTGATTACCCCAGTCAACATATTGTTCAAAGGGCGTGGCAAAATTTGATCCCCTATGAAGATAAAGTTGATGTGATTACCCCAATCCGAATATTGTTCATAGGTGGTGGCAAATTTTGATTCCTTATGAAGAAAAAGCTGACGTTATCACCCCAATCAGAAGATTGTTCAAAGGGGGTGGTGAATGTTGACTCCTCATGAAGGTAAAGTTGATGTTATTACCCCAAGCAACATATTGTTCAAAGGGGGTGGCAAATTTTGATCCCCTATGAAGATAAAGTTGATGTTGTCACCCCAATAAACATATTGTTCATAGGGGGTGGTAAATTTTGATCCCCTATGAAGATAAAGTTGATGTTGTCACCCCAATAAACATATTGTTCATAGGGGGTGGTAAATTTTGATTCCTTATGAAGATAGAGTTGACATTGTTACCCCAATCAACATATTGTTCATACGGGGTGGCAAATGTTGATTCCTTGTGAAGATAAAGTTGTTGTTGTTGTTACCCCAGTCAAGAAATTGTTCAGAGGGAGTGGCGAATTTTTATGTGATGATGATGATGATGATGATGATGAGGATGAGGATGAGGATGATGATGATGATGATGATGATGATCATGACGATTGTAAGTGTGGAGCAACGTCCGGGTTGGGTAACATGTTTGAAACCACCAGCCAGAAAATGTACGGAAGCAGGTTGAAACCATGTCACGCATATATAGATATAATATAATAGAATATAATATACATCTACCTTGGGCGTCCTTAACCCACTTTTTTTTCGGGCGGGGCAGAATCAAAACCCGCTTTTTGGATGATTCTCGGAAATACCTGGTATATTTAGGAAAAACTAGTTTTCAATTTGTTGCATGTAATTTGGCTGCAATTTACCAATGATTTCCTGTAATTGACCCGTAATCTCCCGCAACCAAAGGCCTTTGGTGGAAAAAGACGGCTTATTTCAAAACCTGTTGTTATTTTGGCAACCTCGAAAAAAGTAGGCTATGGAGGCCGCATCTTGTATAATCAATCATATGTAGCTGCTGACTGATCATAATTTTGTCTACTGTAAGCAATTTCAAATCTCGTCGACACTGGCGAAGTTCGGTTGTTCTTGAATCTCTTTCGCGATCCTCTCGGCGTTGGCTTTCTGCTGTGGCGGCAAATGATGTGGGGCGGGACAGCTTTGGAATTGATCCTGGGTAAAGGGACTGCAGCGGATTCTGGAGCACCCCTGTGTCCCAATATCACGCATCACACCTCGACAGTCGCAGCGTGGGTGAGTTTGGGGTCACCATTGACAAGTGGGATGATCCTCAAGGTAATTTTGTTTTTTTGGTTTCATTTGGTTTCTTCATTTTGTGGTCCCTTTTTCCGTGGGTTTTCCATGGTTTTCCCGTAAATTTGCTTTTCACCATTCTTGTCGGTGTCATATTTATTTTAGTTCCCAATTGTGTTTCCAAGGCTCCAGAACCACTTTTGAAAGCTACATCCCAATCTGGTTTACAGTTAAACCTCCCTCGAACGCTAGTAGCGAGGGTGGGGTTTATCATTCCAACCTCGCTACAAACAATAGCTGGAACCAATGTAAAATAACCATCAATACATACAAAACACACACACACACCCGCATATAAGTGGGGATGACAATCTTCTTCCATGGTTTTCAATAGTAGTTCTTGTGTGTTGCATCTCACTTTGTTTGTGCAGTCCCATTCTTGATAATTGTATCCAATGTTGTTGATGTGTTTTGTGTTATATCACGTTGCATCCCCATGTATAGTTGGCAAATCCCACATTTCTTGGCTCGTAAAACATATTCTATGGCGGCATCCCAAAATGATTGCATGCTCAATATTACCCAGTCAGTTGTTGGTACTTTCTTGGTACTTACCGTCCATACAAGTAAAATAGACCCTGCCAAACAGGGGTTGGAAAACGGCTCTCCTCTTGAATGATTCCCGGGTCTATGCTAGTTGGGGGGACAGTATTTTGTTGTTTTGTGGAAAGGTCCTTTGCAAATGGATGCTTCAATCAAAACACCTTTCATGAATTGATATGTTCCTAGAAAAAATGAAAACACTTGGTATACAGTAACTCTACTTGGCTTTGTCTCAAAATATGGTGCCCCCAGACCCCATGGATTTTCATCATGTTCCTCATTGACTGGCTATTCGGGGACACGCCAAAATGAATTATCAATTGGTTTATGGTTGGATCCCAGTTTTCCATGGTTAAACCGCATTTTTTTAGTGGTTAATATCCCCTCCGAAAATTTGTGGAAACACCATCCACCAACCAGATCATCATTGCTTATACATCCCACTACATCCCCATGATATCCCTACTATAGATTGTGAAAAAAACACAATGTTGGCTTCAATCTGAAAAGTAATCCGCTGCGGATGCTTAACCATTCTCAACCGACCAGGTTTCACAATTTCCACTATATACATCTGGCTAATCTTAAAACCTCAATGTTTACAATCCTGATGAGATATAGTCATCCTGGAGTAGAAATAGAACTTTCAATATAAATCTCATATTTTATCTACTTGTGTGCGTCAATATATATACAAACATACATACATACATACATACATACATGCATGCATGCATGCATACATACATATGTACGTACGTACATAAGTGTGTATGTAATGTAATGTAGTGTATTGGAATGTAATGTAATGTAGTGTATTGGAATGTAATGTAATATATGTAATTAATGTATGTAATTAATGTATGTAATGTATGTATGTAATGTAATGTATGTAATGTAATGTATGTAACGTAACGTAACGTAACGTAACGTAACGTAATGTATGTATCTGGGTAAATTATAATATTTCACTAACCTGAATTAAGGCCCATTTGGGGGGTGATTTCCCTTATTAACTATGATTCCAGTGAGGTCGCAGTGACGTCGTTATAATTTACCCAGATGTATGTACTTATGTTATACATTATACCCATCAGTTTTCAGGTAAAGTCATCCGACTTCTTAGAGCTCAGTCACTCGCCAGCCACGCCATGCCCAGGCTTGGGCAGGTTGCTGGGGCCCAACCTCGGAGTTGTTAGTGGGTTTATGCAACCATAATATTAATGGGTGGGATTCCAACTGTAACTATCCCCAAATGGTAGGTTTATATAGGTTTATGCCTTTGGGTTGCCCACATCATTTGAATTACCCTCCGGTAATGAAACGTGGCTGGAAAATCTACTATTTACTTTGGTTTTCCCAGCAGACTCCATGTGCACGGGATTTTCAAGCCAGCCACATTTGAATACCGGCAGGCATACACCATAAATCCATATAAATTCTAGGTAGCTAGTTGTGACTTATAAACCAACTTAATTACCAGGGTCCACTTGTACCCATTCACCTCCTTTATCTTCTATCAACTTTTCAGCTATGCCAGCTATGCCCCTCTGCAACACCGGAGGTGGCTTACACATTCCAGGATTATGCATGTTGACTTTGTGAATGCCATCCACCTCGCATTAAATAGCTCCTGGAAACTGTGGTGGCATGTATATGCATGTATTGGATCTGTTCTACTATGATCGGGGCAAGGGGGCAAGGGATGAATCAAATAACTTTTACCTAATCATATTGCCTCACCCTGGAGGGAGCCCTGGGCAATCCTGGGTAGCCCGGCGGTTCATCCAAAAGCAACGCGAAAAATTCATCCGCGAGGGGCAAAGGCACGATGAAACCCTCTCTCCTGCGGCCGGAGAAGTATACTTTTCCATGCAAGGAATGGTGATGTGGGAGGTTTAACAAAAATAACCATACACAATTACATGATTTCATCAAATTTTGGGGTTGAAACTTTTTAGACCTCTGTTGTTGTTGTTGTTGTTGTTGGGTCTTGTTGATTTTGCTTGGTTTAGGAAGCGGAGGGATCGGGAAACATGCTGCCACGTTTTTTCTTGGAAAACTCAATTGTTTGAGAAGGGAGTCGCCCCAATTGGGGGTCGAAGAAGTCATGCTGGGATGAAGGGCCAAGCTGAGTATCCCGCCGATGTTGTTTTTTTAACAGGTGCAAGCCACTGGTGTGTGGTTCTAAAAATGTAAAACGATGTAAAACTAAATCCCACCTACGGGTACAGTACAACTTGCTGGTTTTAGGGGCAGTTAAGCTGCCCCAATACTTGGCGTACCAAAACAAGTTTGTGATTTGAAGCGACCATGAGATTGGATGTCCCGTCATTGGTGGGATCTAAATATGCCAGCAATGTACATGAATTGATTGGTGGTTTTGATGACCAGATACTACATATATTTGTCACTGGGGATATCCGAGAAAAGATGGGGGTACATAACCTCACGAAAACCACATGCAAATCACATGATCCTGTTTTCTGGCTCGAGCTCAAGATCCATGAAATTTGCTGGAAATCCGATGGGTTTCTGGATTGATGTTGAACCCAAAAGCTCGGTTTGAAATCTTAACAAATCTTAGCAATCTTTAGCTCCTACTCATTCAAAGGTCTTCTATCGAGACTTTAGATTTTCCCAAGCATGGATGGATCAGGCCAGCCAACCACATGGTTGGCTAGCACCCCTGGGGGCCCCCACAGAGCTTGTCCCATCCTCACGGGGTCGGGTGCTTGTAGATGCGGTGGTTTGTCGTGGTGATGGTGGTGATGATGATGATGACGACAAAGTAGCTATCAAATGAGGTTTGAACTGTTTTGAGCTCATGAGATACAAATTATCTGCTCAAAGAACCACGTCCAGCAGAATGTGGATGTTGGGATCCCAGCCGGCTTATTTAGCTTCGTTCGACTTTGGAATCTAGAGATCCTAGTTCCTAGTGTCTCTCAAAGTGTTCTGTGTCAAGCCAGATTCACTTCCTGGCCAGTTTGAGTGCAGGTGCTTTTTTCGAAAGATCTTCCTGATACTTTCTTGAGGGATTTTTTTGCTGGGCTTTATCAATAGTCGGCTTACATTGCCTAGTGCTGGTTTAGCATTTCGGCCATGGAGTTTTCTGAAGCCCTACTCAGGTGAATTCTTCTGATGCAAGTGACTTCTAGGGTTCTGGTTGAGGATGAAAGCTTCTGCCAGCCTCCATTTCAAGCAGGATTGGATCTCTGGGCTATGTTCCCACCTGTTGTGTAGATGCAGTCCGTCATCTTCTATCCAAAGCCCCATTGGGCCAAGTTCTTCACAACGCAACAGAGCCATTTCCACTTGTAAAGAAACATTCTAGCTCAATTTCCAGAAGATCCTCGTTTCAACTGGGGCTCTCACTGGAGTTTGGATAATCATTCACTTGGCTATGACTCTCGTCCAATGGGGTGTCAAACGACCATAAATTTGGTCACAAAAATAGCAACCCATCCAACATTAGGGTAACTGACTTGTGACCAACTTGGAAGATATAATGATAATGATAGAAAACATGTATGATGATTGGCCCAAGTTTTGGGGTCAGCACCCTAAAGTTACAGTATTTTCTTTTTTTCCATTTTTAATACTAATACCCAAGACCCAAGGGTCCTCATAGATTTGGTGGTTTCATAAGCCACAAAAGGCAGGGCTGATGAGAATGTATAACGTCGAGTCTGTCCATGACTCCTTCTTTTTTGGGTGGTGCCCCCTATAGAATTATGAATAGCCGAATAGCCAAGACAGAATTGACACCTCAAAAAAAAAAACAAGGACATTTGAGCAATTTCTGGGTATGAAATCTTTCATCCAGTTTCCCCCCATCGATTTCCAGAGCGGGTACCCCCGGGTGCCCCTGGCAGCCGGCCCAAAAAGCGGAAGCGATGAACCACTTGGTCGCGCTGTGGCCTGAGCCAGTCCCCCAAAAATAAAAGTTGGCAAAATCCCTAACAAAAATGATAAATTCATGGCTATATATGAATGGATGTAGTGATAATTTATGGTAAATTATGGTAAGATAGGGACTATTGTGATAAATTATGGTACGACATGTATGGTAGAACCTACTAAATTGGTGATCACTTCCACTTTTCGGCATCTTTTGGGGGGTTGCTATAATATCGGAATTCATGGGAAAATCATCGGCAACTTGGGAAATCATGGGGTGATCTGGGATTAAACATATTGGGTAATATTGGGCACATATACACATATATATTATATATATATATCACTCTCTCTCTCTCTCTCACATGCTTTCACTGGCCCATCTTTTGCCCTTGTTGCACCCCTGTGCCATTTATATAGATCTCTTGGTTCAAGAACCCAAAAGTCCTATCTCACATGCCTGCTTTCAAAGCCAATTTGTTTCCCTTGTTGTGCCCATGTGCCATTAGATTTCCTGAGTCGAAAGCCAATCCAATGAAGGACTTTCTTTACAGGTAAGATTCTTTCGAAGTCCTGCAGCATCTATTCAAGCGTTCTGTTACAAAGCAATGTTACTGTACATGTTCTCAAAGAAATACCCCACTATTCCCGCCAAAGTATCCCAAAGTGTCAGTTTCCGGGGACGTATATACATTGTTTGAATATGTCAAACCTAGACAAGAATGTGTACGTACGAATCCAAGGTTCCAAGATTCCAAGATTTGCACAAAGTTGCTAGAGATAGAACAGGAAAGCGTTGCAATCGCTAATTTTCAAGTGCATAAACATCACAGCACATCCTATGAAACTTTGGTCAAAGTCTGACTTCCCAGGACCGATAAGGTAAGAAAGCATAAGGGCACAAATGGCAATCATGTGAATCAATAAACAAACAAAAACAAAAACGAGCAAAACCATAAATCCAAAAAAACAAAACATTTGAGATAATGTTTGGTGTCGACTCATGTTTTTGTTTTCCCTAGGTTTTTTCTGTTTTGTTTTGGTTTCGAAATGGAAATTCGAAAAAAATGTTTTTGTTGAATGGATATGATCAATCAAGATATCAAAAGAAACGCAAGGTTTATTTTTGGTTCTTGAGACTTTTCAATGCAGAAAACCAAACCTAAAATGTTGAAAAAAACAAAAAACAACTTGAATTTTGTTTGTTTTTTTGATACATCTTGATTGATCATATCCATTCAAAAAAACAAGTTTTTTTGGTTGAATCATTTCAATACCAAAAAATAAAGAAAGAAAAAACAATCTTTTGAGTCAAAACCAAACATTCTCTCAAACGTTTTTTTTTGGTTTTGCTAGAGTTTTTGTTTTAAGTTTACCAGGTTTTGTTTGTTTTTCTCGATGTGGCCCAAAACAAGTATGGTTGTAGGCATTATTGGCTGCACGAAAGGGTGAAGCAAATGATAAGGTGAAGCAGACCAGGGGGTGAAGTGGTGAGACAAAAGTTTTAAATCAGTCATTGCCATTGAACAAAAATGCATTAGATATTATAATTACAGCCCAAATATATTGAAACATCGAAGTGCAGAAATGCACCCCATGAGCGCCCCTTCTGTGAGATATTGTTTTTCCGGTTGTGCTTTATATGCCCCCCCCCAAAAAAACAACTTGTAATTTCCACAAAAAAAGGCTTCTAGGTAGATCATGGGGGGGTGACCACACACACACATATATATATATATCATGATGTATCGCAATCAGTAAACAAAGGTGACAAACAGTTTGTTTGCTAATTTGGTTTACAAGTAGGCTAGCGGGGATTTAATGCACATATATCTACAACTAATGCTGTTTCTGCACCAACAAGTCCAATTGGTAGGCACCACCTTGTACCAATGTTCAGAAGTAACTCCCATAAAATCCTTATTTTTGCAGGATCAGTCCCTATTCAATACCGATCAAACTGATTACCATACGGATATTAGCGGTAAATTAAGATGACTATCACGGCTATGGAAACCATGGCCCATTTAATTTAAATCTTCAATGATTGTCCTATCACAAATGAATCAAGTGACGATTTTCTATCGCAAAATGTGATATTTCCAGAGGGCAACTTCCTGGATATCCTCCGGCAATTTAAGAGTTTGCTATTGAAAATAGCCCATAGGAATCATTGATTTGCCCAACTTCAAGATGGTGATTTTTCATAGCTTTTTGTATTTTTTTACCAGAGGGTAACTCTCCCAGTCCCAGAGTTAAAAACCCAAACCAACAAGACCAACAAAACCAACAACCCACAACCGACGACCCCGATGGGTTCCCGAACCCGGGAGGCAATGGCTTGAGCAAAAGCCCTTTACGACACAACCTCGGAAGAGGCCAGGTAACGTGAGCGGTTGGAGTGGTTACAACTGGTTGAAGGATATTCAAGGGATCCTGGCAATGGGACATCCATTTTTTTGAATGACAGCTGATTCAATCATTGGATTGGTTTCTTGGGGAACATCTTAACCGGAAATCATGTTTTTTCAATGAGGAAAAAAGGGTTTTCCTCCAAATTTTCCCTTAAACCAATCCAATGATTAAATGGATCCACATGGCAATGGGACATCGACTGTACTTGAATGGAAACATTGAAGGGAAAATCATCGAACTGAATGGTGGATTTTCCATATTTGATTGCCCACGGGGTAATGGATGATACTATATGATACTACTCCCCGGTACTCCCCAGTATGTTGGACAGCATAACCATGCATAACCCGCTACCGTCATCAACCAAGGGGGGGTTTGAATTAAACACCCAAAACATCCCCCTTGAAATTCGCCCCGAGAGGTTGGGCCTACCAAAGTGTAGGGTGCCCAGCCTACCCCCCTACAAAATGGTATGGGGACACCTACAAAATGGTAGCACCCATGGGGGTTGCTGCCTACAAAATGGTGGCCCCAGGGTACCCCACCTGCCCACCAACATCAAGTATTTTGGGCTAACATAGTGTCCAAAAAACTGTGAAAAATGGGAGATCCATTTTGTAAGACACAAAGCAACCCTGTGGTCACACCCTGGTCTTTTTTGGGCGACCAATTTGTAGACAATTTACTCTGAATGAAATTTCTTCTGAAAATCTCTCAAGCAACCCTTGCATATCTCAAATTTTTGCATCTTGTGCATCTGGCAATCGGGTTTCATAAAGTATCGTCCAACAGAAGTAGTCAGATAGACTGGACCGAAGTAGTGGTCATCGTTTTTCTTTTGTGGACCGGGGCTGGTTTCAAAATTTTGGAGGCTTTGAAAACTTTGCGATCATTTCCACCAAAATCCACATGGTCGGTTGATATTTTTTTGTGTTCAAATATATTTACATTTGTGGATGTATTTATCAACTCCCCTTACCCATCTACAAAACGGTATTCCAAATCTTCTACAAAATGGAGGTGCCTGACACTGGCATATGATCTTGTTCTCATATAAAGTGATGTTGGGTGTGTATAAACAGGTCTCTTTCTACAAAATGGGTTGCCCCGACGGCAAAAAAAAACTGATTTATAGGGGGCCCAAGGCCTACCATTTTAAATGGGATGGGCCTACCAAAGTGTAGGGTGCCCAGCCTACCCCCCTACAAAATGGTATGGGGACACCTACAAAATGGTAGCACCCACCCATGGGGGTTGCTGCCTACAAAATGGTGGCCCCAGGGTACCCCACCTGCCCACCAACATCAAGTATTTTGGGTTAACATAGTGTCCAAAAAACTGTGAAAAATGGGAGAACCATTTTGTAAGACACAAAGCAACCCTGTGGTCGCACCCTGGTCTTTTTTGGGCGACCAATTTGTAGACAATTTACTCTGAATGAAATTTCTTCTGAAAAATCTCTCAAGCAATCCTTGCATATCTCATAATTTTTGCATCTTGTGCATCTGGCAATCGGGTTTCATAAAGTATCGTCCAACAGAAGTAGTCAGATAGACTGGACCGAAGTAGTGGTCATCGTTTTTCTTTTGTGGACCGGGGCTGGTTTCAAAATTTTGGAGGCTTTGAAAACTTTGCGATCATTTCCACCACAAAATCCACATGGTCGGTTGATATTTTTTTGTGTTCAAATATATTTACATTTGTGGATGTATTTATCAACTCCCCTTACCCATCTACAAAACGGTATTCCAAATCTTCTACAAAATGGAGGTGCCTGACACTGGCATATGATCTTGTTCTCATATAAAGTGATGTTGGGTGTGTATAAACAGGTCTCTTTCTACCTGTTTAGAGTGCCCCGACGGCAAAAAAAAACGGATTTATAGGGGGCCCAAGGCCTACCATTTTAAATGGGAAATGTCAACGGGGATCCCAAAACAGTGCTCACATGTATTTCAGCGACATTAAATACGGTTGATGTCACTTGTGCAACCGCAAAAGCAAACATGGAACGCAAATAAAAACAGTAACATCAGAGGGCAATTACGAGCTACAAAAAACATTAAGACATGCAAGAAAATTGCCGTGTTGAAAAACAAACATGAGGATTTGACTAACAAAAGCGGGGATGCAAGGGTAAAGGGCATATAATTTGACAAACATAGTATGTCATGTAAGCTGCCAAAAGGGGGATATAGCCAAGTGGACATTTTAATCCAGCACACTGGAGGTGAGAAAAAATCAGAAACATCAACGATCACAATGCCACTTGCCAACATTGGAACATTGTCCAAATTCCTGACTCTATAAAGACTTCCCTCTGCACAAGTGTAACAAGACCCATCAGTCATCAGTCGGAGCGTGCTCACTATAACTCACCAATTTTACCTTTGGCATCCTTTGACTTTTGACATGAATTCTTCATTTTGGACATCGCCTTTTTTGAGTTCCACCCCCGATTTCCCAACTCCTTGGTGGTTTTAAACCCTGGAAAATATGAAGTCCTTTTGGATCACCCCAAATAAGGGAAATCAAACACCTATATATATTCTGTAAAAATCTGTACAATCATAATGTATTGCACAATAACATGTATGTATGTATCTATGTCTGTCTGTCTGTCCGTCCGTTTGCTTGTCTGATCTATCTATTTATTTGTCTATCTATCTAAAGATCTATCTATCTATCTATCTATTTACTTGTCTATCTATCTATAGATCTATCTATTTATCTATCTGTATATCAATCTATCTATCCATCCATCTATATCTATGTATTTATCTATCTATCTATAGATCTATCTATCTATCTATCTATCTATCTATCTGTCTGTCTATCTTTAGATAGATCTATCTAACTAACTATCTATCTATCTATCTATCTCTATCTATCTCTATCTATCTCTATCTATCTATCTATCTCTATCTATCTATCTATCTATCTATCTGTGTGTGTGTCTGAAAACGGGGTAAAACCCAAATAGCAATTCTGTCATGGGGAAAAAGGTGACCATCACAAATTGGGGGTCACCTATTTTGAGACTAACCTAGGTGGTTTGTTGATCCCCTATCCACTACAATCCATCCAGCCAAAAACCACTGTTTAGCTGAGTGGCAAATGCTGCTGACCAGTGCCAGAATCATCATCTTCAACCTCAACACTCGCTGAGCTAACCAGAGAGCTGGTAAAACGTAGCAGCCGAGTAGGATGATACCAATAAAGTGGGAACAATCAATTCACCAACCTTGCCGACCCGAAGAACATAAAAATTGGCACAACCCGCCAAAAATGGGATGACACATGATGACGCCATATGAAGCCCCTAAATTGGCTTGGACTCCAAGGTCACCAAAAATCATGGACCCCACTCATCTCCCACTCATCTGCCATATCTTCTGCCGGCCAACGATTTGGATGATAACTTCGGTCCATCACTTAGGAACCTTCCATGTCAGGTCTCAAAGGGGACCCTAAAATGGAGCTACCTTAGTAAAATGTAAAGCCAGATTTTGCGTGCATATCCCCTGAAACTTAGCCCTAACAAATAGTCCGCAAACAAATGCCAGGTACCTCCAATACATCGGTACCTGAAATGGCCATTGAAACAAAATAGTAATATATAATAACCACCAAAATTGTACCAATGGGGGGAAGTGCCAAACAATGTTCCCCAGGTTTCGCGTTTGGATAAGCGAAGAAACCGTAGAAAATGGCTCAACACCCCGTTGAAAATGGAATATGTACCTGCACGGGGATGTGTGTGTATATATATATGTATGTATATATATATATATAAATATATGTATATTAACATAAACCACAATTGTACATTGGTAAATATATTGCACATATACTAATCCTAAAACAACAACTGCTAAGTATTAATATACTATCAACAAGTATCAACGGCGCTTGTCCAGCGAAAACACCGCATGTCAAGGGACCCACATGGGAATGCTGCTGTTCACGCTGCGGTCCTGCAAGGCTTGCGCCACCTCCACCTAGGAGGAACGAAAGGTTCCCATGGGAACATGATCTACATTCATGGTGCGTTTTCCGCATCTGGCTAAATGATGAATGAACAAAGCTCAGGAAACTGAAATTGGCTGAAATAAGGCTATTGGGGATGATTCCCCTTCATATTCAGCCAAATCATAATCATTAACGATCCATATTAATAGCCCATAATTGCCCATCCAAGATTTTATCAGTCATAAAAAAGTTGATCATCATAAGTTAAATGTGCCCTGGTCATTTTGTCACATCTTCCCCAATGGATCATCAACACTCATGCGGCTTTTTCGATGGTGGGATGACGGATAAGTGACCATAAAGCAACCGGCAGCCTTCAAGAAAGCAACCCATCAATTTTGTTTAATAAATACATAAACAAATATATATTATATATATAATATTTTCATGAAACTGTTTGAGAATAGTTTTCAGGAAGGTGAGCAACCAATATATATATATATATATAAAGATTGAACAGCATGAGGCCCAGAGACTCACAAGACTTGGTGATATTGTTCATCATTGTAGGCATCTCATGATCAAGTCATACCCGGTTTGTTGAAATATCGTAATAGCTGGAGGAAATATTTGGCTTCCACCAGCCTGCAGCTAGAGTGATCTTGATACTTCTTCTTCTTCAAGGCTGGTGGCTATGAACAACTGTGAATCCCCACTGAACCAATGAGGAAAACCCCACTTCTTCATCAACCAAACATCATTCAGCAATTGTATTCGCATTTCTTTACGAAAACCACCCGGCTTTCAGAAGAGCCAGTGAAATTCCGCCCGGTTCACAGCTCGTCCATGGCCTGCTCCCTCTTTACTGTAACATTGAAGGGTTGCAACCACCTTAAGGCTCCCCGAAAGCACCATTTTTTTGTAGACACAGTCCACGCGATTTTTCTTTTTCAAGAAGAAATCTTTGGCTGGGTATTTCCCATGTTACATGTCCTAGCCAACTCTGATCAAGATCCTTTCTAGCTGGAGAAGAGCAAACCCTTTGCATCATCCAATGCCTTGTCCAAGCTTGCATTGTACCTGCGCATCCATGCAAGTTGTTTCTCCTTGGTAGCTCCCGGGAGGAATTTCACGGTTTTCAGCTGACTTTCCACCACCTCTTTATATTTGCGATCTTGTGCTGCAACAAGACTTCCGTCCGAGCACATCGAAGAAATCGCAAGTTTCAACCCTTCGCACTCCAAGGGCGAGAATTTGGTCGTCGATCCACCACATTTCACCTGGGAACACCCCCCGCTGTGGGAATCCCACTTCGGAACGTGCCAATGGCTGCTCCGGCAACCGAAAGGCAGCTCCTCGTTCCTTCACCAACTTCTGGAGAGAAGCGACCCCAACCTTCGAAACGCTAGGCTCCCCAAAAGCAACATTGAAAGGGGAGGTATGGGGGGTTACATTGTGTCTCTGCTCCAGCTTTCTGCGGGTAGTGGTGCCGGATTTCCTCCGTCCACTTTCTCCCAGACTTTTGTTGGTCTATATACATATATGTCTTGGTGAGTCTCCCCTTTAAAAAGAAAACCTCGCATTTTCATCAACCAGCATGGAGCCTCATGATTTTTTCACGCCGAGGCGCGTAGAATGACTGTGTCACGGCGACGCCAAAGCCGGTTTCGCCCTCGAATTGCACTTCCATGAGCTTGCTGGCCTTGGAAGTTGGTCACATTTCAGGGGGCAAAACCATGCAACACATTGTTTTTTTGGGTCACGATTTCACTCATAATATGGAGATCAACCAGCAAAATCCATGAGGTTGAAAACGTTCGTAGAATTGGTGGAAAAAATGCGGTTGAACCCCTTACATTTGAAAAGAAAAAATCATGGTTTCAACCTTCCCAACTGAACCATACTAAACCATCTAAACATATCTAAACCAATTGAGGTGTGTGACATTTTGGGAGTTCAACGAGAAACAGCCTGCGGATAAACACATTGGTGCAAGGGAAAACTATCTATATGTTGCATAGCTGTGCTTTGTTCCATGGCCTAACCCCTGGTCAAATCTGGTGTGGTGGCCTTGGAGGTGGATAGCAAACTTTGAAGGAAATAGAAATTTGAAATGAAATATTGATGTATTGGCACATTCAACCCTTAGCATATTGTCGAGTCGCAATATTTCTAGGCTTTCCATATCCATGTCAATGTTCTAGACTTGGTGCATTATTGATACCCTGCTAAGTTAGTTTATGTAAAAATCCCTCAAACGAAAACACACACACACACAAAACAAAAAAAACTAAGGCGCTGCCCTCGAATGACAAGTTGGTTTATAAGCACCAACACTATATCTAAATATCTATAGCTAAAATATAACAAATCACAGAGACCAAATTCCTAGTCATTATGAGTTAGAAAAAACATGAAAAAACTATCGACCAACCTTCGCTAACAACCTTGCGTGGTAGCATCTTCACCAAGCGGCGTTCGCCAGAAAGCCTCGGATTGCGACGGCACATCAACATCTCTTATCATGTGTTGTCCTTGTCTGCTTGGTGATTTGATTCCAATTGAACTCCATCAGTCGGTGAGGAATCATTCCAGGAAGAAACAAGATCGAAACAATCAACCAGTTGTCGAACTGCATGGCCAGTGGCATGTGTTGAACAGGGCCCAAAAGTGCGTGCCCAGTTCCGGTATGTAACTCAAACTTTGGGAGACCTTGTTAGGACTGTTTGTTGATGAAAGACATCATGAAAGCCACCAAACAAACAGTTCTACAATTCAATGTTGATATGATGTTGGAAAGTGTTGCATTTGCAGCGTGAATTTTGTTACTTCGTCCAAAGGGGAGAGGGCAACTATGGCCTTGCAACAGGTTCCATTTTTTTGATATAGCGGATAGATGAACACGTTCTATCAAAAGTGTGCAGCAATACCCCTTGCTGACTGGTAGTCTAAGGCAGTTTCTTGTAGATGATCTTCGCTCTATGTCATTGTGTTTCCCGCTTCTCTGTTTCCATACTTGCTTACCAAAGTGCACTCCAACAAAACCTGGATGTTTTCGATAATGTTTCCGCTACCATAATTCCAGGTTTCTAACTTTTCTAGTTTCTAGTTGGAGGTATTGTTGGCTGATCAAACCCCTACTTGATGGCTTAACCACCATGTTTGACGAGTAACATCACCATTTCCCCAAACTATATGCTGAGATACTTGTTCATGTTGATGGATCAATCCCCAACATATACAACTGTTCGATGGTTAATGCCCCTAAATCCTTTTGCATATATTTGCATGATGGTTCAAGGATATAAGTTCGCATTCAAGTACCCATTCAGTTGGTTTTTACTCCTATATCCAAATTTATTTTACTCATATATCTGGAAAATTTGTTCATCCCCAAATATCGGTGGGTTAAATCATACAAAAACCCTCATGTGACCCAACCATCCACCCTTTCCACTGGTCTCTTTCTCGTTTCCGTTGAGCCAAGGGACCCATGGCTACATCTGCTTGGCGCAAGAACTCCTCACCCTTCTCTAATCTCACCTTGGCCAGGGGAAGAGAATCTAGGGAAAGGCAAGGTGATTTCGCAATACCAAATCTGAAGCTTTGGGGCCCAAGAATTAGATGAAATATTGCTGGAACCCCTCGAACAGATTAAAAAATGCCCTCCTACCAAACTATAACTATAGCAAAAATTACTGTTCCTTTTAGTCTTTGTGGTGGTGCCAGACAGAAGGTAATGAAAGAATGCCAAACAAAATGTCAGGAAGAATGTCAAACTATATATGTCAGAAAGAATGCCACATGAAATCTGAGATAGAATGGGTGTTAGATGAAATGTCGGAATATCTGTCAAATGACGGACAGAATGCCAGAAAAAAAAAGTCAGATAGAGTGTCAAATAAAATGGCGGAATGTATGTAAAATAACACATGAATGAGTTGTCAATTTGTCAGTTGATGGGGGTGACTCGTAGAAAGTAATTTTAGGACAAGCCAGCTACTTCCCCGCAAAAATCCGGACCGTTCAGTGCTGACAAATTCTTTGTCCCATGCGTCTGATCAGCAACTAATAGATGTCCGTTACACCAAAAAAACGAGGCTATTGGCTAATGGAATGGAATAGAACATAGCCAAAGTCTAAGGCAGTTCATGCCTCAGGCGTTTGCAACGGTATTTTCCATGCTTCATGTTATACTTCATGTCCAGATTTCCCACAACTGTCTCGTTCTTGTCTTAGCAATACCAACCTCTAGGATTGATTCAGCCTCACTGTTCCATAGAATGCACAAGGTTACAACTTCAATACACAAACCACCAGAATATATGGCAAGTTTCCTAGTGAATGTTACTATGATTGATGATGATAATTGTTATTATTAACCTCATCCTCATCCTCATCCTCATCATCATCATCATGATCATGTATACACACACACACATATATATATATGTATATATACTCATGATTAGCAGTATTAAGAACAAACCTCTGATCATTTTATTTAACTACTGTCAGCATTGTTATTGTTATGTTTGCTACGTATATTATTTATTGTTAAATCATTATCATTACTACATCATGTTACCATGTTTCATATTTTATTTGTGATTGTGTAACAACGTAACCCATATTCAATTGCCATATTCTCATTGCTATCGCTTGCTTCTCATTTTCCAAGCCGTAGATTCCGAACAGCCCAGTTGGGCTTCTGCAGGGCTTGCAGCCTCCTTCTGGGCTTCCGCACCAGGGTGCTTTGCAAGGTGCCCAGCCAATAGTTGGACCTCAGGAATCCACACTTTGGTTGTTACCGAACAGGGAAAACACATGGCAAAGGAGGAATGGCTGTAATCCCACTAGATGGAGATAATGCTGTTGATATATGTTAATCATCACTTAATAATCTGATATCCATTATATACTGTAATATACTGTAATCAGCAAATCAACAAAACTAGAATGGAGATAGAATGGGATGTTTGTTTTGCTTTTTTTAATGATGGGATAATGGGATATGATATTGGAGTTAGTGTCCCGCGGGACAGTAATCAAACATGGATGCCCGGGAAATGCCCTAAACATGTGCTTTTCTTTGTGTGTTTTTTTCGCTGCCATGTTTATTTACCAAAGGTCTTGATCGTTAATACCAGGGTATATTAAGGGATGAACGCGGGTGACACAATATATAAATATATACATACACCAATAGATAGATAGATAGATAGATATATATATATGTAATTATATAAATACTGTGATATACTGTGCATAATCATGGGTATTCATCCCTTCCCTCTAATATCGAATATCCAGCAGCTATCTATTGGAATGTATTGGAATGTATTGGAAAGTATTGGCTCGAATCTATTCATGACTTGGGGTCACAACATTGGGTATTATTTGATATTTGGGGGAATTCACATATTGTTGACTATACTGGGTTTTTATTTTGTTTGGTGCTGTGTCTGCTGCTTATTAAGTATTGGTATCGGGACCCAACACCAACAAAAAAAGACAATGAAATATGTCTCTGGTGATTGAACTGGTGGTGATTCAGATGTTTCAGTTGGCCGTTGTTACTTGGCTTTGGTTCAATTTACCTTGGTGCCACAAACCAAGAATAAGGGCATCACCCAACATCAATCAAGAACGGGATGCTCGGGCTGTTGACCAGCAAAATCTGAGCCTTGCCCAACTTCACTGGGTGCATTGGAGGAGCCTGCAGGCCTGAGGGACTCATTTTGTTTCCTCTCAGGTCGGCCACGGAGTGAAGCCAAGCAAAAAGTTCCATGCCCTTGACGGTCACACGCCTCATCCATGCCTCCGATGTGCCCAAGGAGCCGGGGTGCTGGCGCTCCTGCGTCATCTGAGCGGAGCACCTCGTGCTCGCTCTGGGCTCCGAGGCGCTCGTCCGATGTTCGCGTGCTCCTTCCCCCGATTTGGATTTATCTTCCCACTGGCTTGAGGTGAGAAAAAAATAAGCAGGTCAATCCCCAGTTTTTTGCCATTTTTCACATGGAGGTGTTCCATGAAACTTTCCTTCACTGTCGCGATCTTCGGCACTTCTGCGATCTTCGGCTTTCAACCGCCCTGCGCCATGCACAATGAACCGTACATGCTCTTGGGCCCGCGCCGAACCACGTGCTCTTCGATATTTGACCTCGACATCCGCAGAGTTGACCATTGACCATGTTTTTTTATCGTTGGGGATGGTGAACCCCTTAAAAATTCCCCAATTGGGGTTCACCACTCCAAATATTGCAACCACCCAAAAAATAAAAACAAAGTAACATCCTGCAAAAAAAGTGATCAATTACTGTTCTATCTTTTTGGGTGGTTCTATATGGATCCAAATGATTACTCTTTTAAATTAATTAAGGATGAAACAGTGAAATGAACATACACAGGCATGTTTGGACAGAAGAGCCCCATTTTGAAGGAGCCACAGTTTCAAAGGGGCAAGAATGATTTATATCAATATAATTTATATCCCTAAGGGGGAAGTTGAACCTAGTTATCACCCATATCAATAGGAAACAATGCATTTTTACATGCTCTTGCCACCAAAGAACGAACGTGGCAAGCAAACCAGCAGTACGACAAATTCTTCAGCAGTTCAAAAAACAAGACCTTCTTCGAGCTAGACATGGAGTACAAAGCATATAATATCATATATATATGTAAATACATATGTATATATATATATATATATGTAAATATATATATATATGTGTGTGTATGTGTGTATGCGTGCATGTGTGTATGTGTGTATGTGTGTATGTGTGTATGAGTGTATGTGTGTATGTGTGTATGTGTGTATGTGTGTATGTGTGTATGTGTGTATGTGTGTGTATGTGTGTGTATGTGTGTATGTGTGTATGTGTGTATGTGTGTATGTATGTATGTATGTATGTATGTATTTATGTATGTATGTATGTATGTGTGGTTATGTGTGATTATGTGTGATTATGTGTGATTATGTGTGATTATGTGTGATTATGTGTGAGAATGTGTGAGTATGTATGAGTATGTATGAGTATGTATGAGTATGTAAGGGTATGTATGGGTATGTATGAGTATGTATGAGTATGTATGAGTATGTATGAGTATGTATGAGTATGTATGAGCATGTATGAGCATGTATGAGTATGTATGAGTATGTATGAGTATGTATGAGTATGTATGAGTATGTATGAGTATGTATGTATGTATTTATGTATGTATGTATGCTCATGTATGCATGTATGTATGTATGTTTGTATGTATGTTTGTATGTATGTATGCATGCATGTATGCATGTATGCATGTATGCATGCATGGATGTAACACATGTATGCATGTATGCATGTATGCACATATGTATGTGTGTATGTGTATGTATGTATGTATGTACGTACGTACGTAGGTATGTATGTATGTATGTATGTGTGTGTGTATGTATGTATGTATGTATGTATGTCTGTGTGTATGTATGTATGCATGCATGTATGTATGTATGCATTCATGTATGTATGTATGTATGTAAATATCTGATTTTGATTATGATTCAGTATGTTTGATTATGTATGTATGTATGTATGTCTGTGTGTCTGTAATGACTCCCTCCTAAAAGGTCTCCAGAGTTGGTCCCCCACCTACATTGATAAAAGATGATAAAAGTATTAATCCAAGGGTCCCTTCTGCTTAAAGGTACCTCGAATAATTTGCTCGGCAGTACTTCCTCCCCACCTGGACATAATAAATGGCACTCTTCCCACCCACTTAGAATAATTTCAGGCAAAATTATTCAAGAGTGGGGGAACTACCTTTTTTTCTTGGGTTAGGTCGACCCCAAATAATTTCTTCTAATCAATGCCAAAAGATATTAACACTATCCTCTTGCTCATTGATGGTGAAGGTGGGGGTGGGAGTAGGTGATTTTGCGCCGAAAAAGGGTCTACAGAATACAAGTCCATCCAAAAAGGTGTACCCAAATGCACTACAAAATCGAAATCTATGGAACCCAAAATGGCTACTCACTACTCACTACAAATGTATGTAATGTAATTATACATACTGTGTGGGAAAACCTGTCCCTGAAACTCCCATTGCACCAGCATGTGGCGCAACACACCAAATGCTTGGGCTTCTACCCACTTGGAGAAGACTTAGTCGCTTCGCCAAGGGCTTGTAATTAAAGTAATCTCCTACAATGATAAAAACTCCAAAAAAAAGTTCATCTATCCAAACATCCACTTGCTAAACATCCACTTCCGAAGTGGAGAACAAAGGGATACCCTCCTGTAATCAGCTCCATGGCTGGAAAGCCCTCCATTTCGAGGGAACTTCCCAGCTATATCCAACATCCAAAGATCATCATCCAGGTGCCCCGACAGTTCCTGGGACAGCTCCTGCATCTTTCGTGGATCTGTCTGGGCCTGGCGGAGAGCGCCATGATCAAATCCTTATAGCTGTGCTTTATTTCATCCCTATGGTGGAGGGCTACCTTTGGTTATATCACAAAACCATACAAAACCCCATTCCCCATGATTCCCCACCATTGCTATACCCAAGATGGTGCCACCTCTGCAAATCCACCTGTGATGATCCTTCACATGTTTGCGATGGCAGGAAGGGTTGCAGCTTGAGGGTTTCCCTGAATTCGTCCATCGCCAACGCAAGGGCTACGTTGGAACTTGGGGCAGTGCATATAGTGCATATGATGGACGCCCACGCCGCTGTTTTTTTCACGGGCGTATGAATCCAGCTTGGGAGCCATGATCTTTGTGGTTTCGCGTTCCATAGAGGATCACTGCTTTGTTGCTGGCTTTCTCGTCCAACTCCCAAAATTCTGTTGGCGAGATTGGCCACCACTCCATCGGGGACAGCAGATTGCTTCGTCGGAGTGTACCCGTAATCTCCGAGCACTGCTACCTTTTCCAATAGCCCTGGGGCCGAGCTATTATTTATATGTACGAAGTCCCCGCTTTGTAGCCGCCTGGTCTTTAATACTTTCGCCATGAGTGATCCCAGTGCTTTTCCTGTAATCATGAAATATTCGCATGATATTGGTGCATTATTGTCGGGTCGCCGTAGCTTTCCATCAAATCTCCAAACTCTGATGGATTCGGCTCAAGTGGCGCCTGAGAAAAAACATGGATGGAGTAGTGATCTCTACACACGTGGCTAATCTTGGATGTTTAATGTACACACACCGTTTTTGAAGAAATAACTTGTGAACAAATACGTTCATTTCTGGCAAAAATTGCAGCACTAGACTACCCTTTAGCAAGGCTTCCCTAGCCACGTTTGTTAGTATATACACCTGAACTGAACTAATTATACTATGTAGACCTCTCTCGTCAAAATGTAATATTTCTTTAATCATTAATCTAATTGTGAACCAACCTGGCTACTTATGGAGCACCACCTTGAACTTAGGCGCTATGGTTCGAGCTCTCTCGCTTCAGAATCCAATAAGGACCACAGCTGCAGGATGTATGGTAGTTTAGGAATGCTTGGGTTATCCCCCACGATTCTAGTCACACGAGGATCACATTTTTAGTAGTGTCCCCTGTCTGCCATCACTAAGGATCAAGGGGGGGATAAGCTAAGCTATAGATAACAGTGATTCCTGGTGATATTCTCATGAATCAGTAGGTAATAACAATAATTTCTGATCCCTGCAGACTAATATAAAAACAACCCCACTCGAAACCCGTGGGTGGGGGTGTCTAATGTTGCGTTAGGGGGGATGGCACTAATCACTCGCTACAAGTGGACAGATTCTCGGAGATCCAAAGGCTCAGAAATGGATTCGAACCCCACCATTCCTTCGGCTTGAAGGATCAGCCCAGTATGAGTAACGGCTTGTAGTGGTTTGATGTTTTATGGCAGCATTAGGCATCAACCCAAAGGCTTAGCGCCTGGCTCCCTGTGCTACCCTTGTGCTTATCAGCATCTTGTGATCACCGGTGAACTAATCACGTCTCATGTCAGTAGGTCATGTCCAACTCAAATCGTCATTGGTGATATAAAGTTGTATCCACGTAATATATATTTATATATACATACATATGTATATATAATATAGATAAATATTATACATATATCAGTACATATGTATGTATATATATATACACGCTTGGGGCCCTAGGTTTCCGCAGATTATCTTGCTTATCATTGATTCAAATGTCAAAAATCACTGTTTTGCCACAGCGAAATGAGGATTTTGCACATTCTTCTTCATTCTTCTTCTTCATTCTTTAATGACAATTGTACGGACCTAAATTTTTAGGTCCGCGCAAGTTGCATGTTATGACATGTTATCCAGCACATGCCAATTCTGATGTTTATGTTTTGCCACACGAAATGCCACTTTTCATGAATTTCTTTGTTTTTTTATCCGGAATTGTCATTTTTTTACTGCTGCTCGTGGGGTAATATGAAGAGGTGTCGTTTTTTTAATTGGTATTTGCAGTGAATTTTAATGTTGGCAGGAAACGGCACATGTTGATAGTCAGCCCTTTTCTGCTCGTTGTTGCTTCAACTTCATTTTCTATATATGTATGTAAGTATGTGTGTATATATATAACTTCGTCAAATACACATCAGCATATGAACTTCAAAGAAAACACGATTATCTATACCACCCCGGGGCCTCACCCCACCCCTCCATAACATGAACATGACGTTAACATGCCCCACCCCCCCACCCCTCCCATCAACGTAGCATCAACTTAACATGAACATGACGCTAACATGCCCCACCCCACCCCAGCCCTTGCGGAAACCTGGGGCCCCGAGGGTATATATATATACATATACACATATATATATATATTTGTGTGTACCCCATTATCGAAATTATCTATTATAGTACTATGCAAATAAATATGTCCCCCGGTGATATGCCCGTGCTGGCCAACGTGAACGCCAGGTCCAAGGGACGTTGAGCTCGGTCTGCACCGTGGCACGGCGCTTCAGAAAGCTTCCCACTTTATGCTCCTGGCATGAACAAAAACTGTACAAATGTGGGATGAATATGAGATAAATTGAATATGAATGGGATATGTAAATCAAAATGTGGGAATCATAAAAGATATTAGTGGAATTATATAATGGGAATGGGATTCCCCAATGGGATACTAGTGGTATTCAGTGAAAAAAATATATAATTGTAAATATAATTATTATATATATATTTATTTAACACTTTCAATAGCAAACATGTGGGATTTAACCAACGACAAGAGTGGTACCATGGGAATATTATGAGGGATATTAGTAATATGTAATATGACCCTCTGGTGTCTGCAACAACTGGTGATTTTAAAAACGATGGCTGCACCCGAACCTATGAATAAACTATGTGCAAATGAAATAATCAAATCACAAACTTGGAACTTGGAACTTCAACATCAAACATTGAGACCAATGAAAATGGAGATTTCACCTCCGTTTATCCCTTTTTACATGGCTATTTCACTTGGGAAGATTCTGGAAAACCTATAGAGTTGAGTGATGTCAACAAACTATGGGACATTCACCAAAGAATGGTTGGTCAATCGGGGTCTCCGACTCATGGATTGTGATCATCGTCGATGTATAAATATAATATATATAATACATATATAATATATATTATATATAATATGGTAGTACAAGCCCCTGCGATCATGAAACAACTAGGGGCTTTGAAATTGCTTTGCATTGGTATGGAAGACTTTTCGGTCTTTGGCTGAAGTGCAAAGAAAACCACAAACAATGCGATTTTGGGGATCATTCCCTTCCATGCATCATTCATGGTGACGCAGAGACGAAATCATGGAAAACTAATCCAGAACCGAATCCATTAACCATCAAGAAATGGGATCGGGAATAGTAGGGTTAACCTCAATCACTAGTGTCATCTACCAGTAAAACCGGGCTGCAAGCCAGTCTTATAGGGGCCTATCCTAGTACCAGCCATGGTTTAGCATACTATCCCTTCTCCCTTCAAATTTGACCCTGATCTACGTGTTGCAGTGTCTGTGTGTCACTGTCAACCCTCCAACAAGCTCCGCGGGATTCACGTGGACATCCCGCAACCTGCGTCCAGTGCACGGCAAAAGAAGGACCAAAGGCGGTGTACTTCATCAGCATCTTTCTGGTCTTGAGGCCTCAGAAATCGTCAATTCCAACAGAAGGCTGGCTGCTTTGCTAAAGTTATGTAAAGTTGCTATCACCAAAGCTGTAAATGTTAAGCCATGCTCGGCTCGGCAATAAGTAATCGTTATATTCTGTAATACTATACCACCGTGAGTCGGTTTATATAAGTGTTCTTGGTACCAACACTTGAACATTGATGGTTGGCATTGAGAAGGTCATTGGAAATATCGATAGAATCTTGAATGTTTAGTAGTTTAGTGGCTAACTAATTGAAAGACCAATGGAATTAATCATGCGATTTGCAAGCTGCCATGGAGTGTTTTTGCCGGGGCGTCCAAGAAGAGCTTGCCCTTCCTCGATGCCACGCCAAGAGTTCAAAAAGCTGGTTAATCTCATCGATGTCTGCAAAAAATCTGGATGGCTCTGATGTTTCATTATTGAGTTCACCACATTGCCACATTGTGATCCGATATACCCGGGCAAGCATGCAAGCAATTATAATTATATATTAATTAATGAATCGTTTCCCCCATTTTGCACCTACTCAGAAGGATCGTTGAGTTAGTTACCTGGACCTTCTTTTTTTAAGCTTGCTTCCAACCTATCGCAGCCTATCATACCGTTTTTTGTACAACCCACGTAGCTCGTCCCGCGGCGCCAAATCGGGCATCCCAGCTGAAGAGGAAAGGACAGACTTTCGGAAGCGTCACGGCCCAACGAGGTAAAGTGCCACTGATCACGCTGAACCTTGGGAGCCAGCAGCTCTGCTCCCAGCTGACAGTGGAGAGGGTAGGGTCATTCATAACAGGAATGCAACACGAAACATGAAGCTGCATTTTGATGCGTTTTGTGGAATGCGGGACTTGACACTATGTTGCTTAACTTGCACTGATCGAATTATAACACATATCGAAGCTGAAAATCACACCTAAAGCGGTACCCAATCTTATCTCAGCACGTGGTTGACCCTTTCATGAAACTTGTGTGGAAAACCATTCAAAAACTATACTTGGAACCGCAAACAGACTAAAAATCAAAACCGACAAAAAATAGTCACAAATAGTTCACAGCTCCTTCATTTAGGCCAAACAGGCTGTTCTTTCCAGGGCGTACATTCACCACATCTCGCAGCCAGGTAAGGCTCAAACGGATCTTCCAATTGGTACCTTCCGCTGCTGAACCATGGGTTGGTGGAGAGGGAGTGTTGGAAACTAAGAAACCTATATACCAACTTTTTGAACGGCTGAAAGGCTGAATCCTTCAGTTGCTTTCACTTACGTACAGTTGGTTTCATGGAATAATGGCCTCAAAAGCCAAAGCATTGTGATTTGCAGCTGCCCAGATCCCCTCAAGCGCTCTTCGTCTTTTCCATCCCTGTGATGGTTTGGCAATGATCTTCTTAAAGAATCTCAAAGATACTCATCCGACCAAAATATGCAAGGTGGTGGCAGTTAGCTAATCTGGTTTGTAAGTAGGTTAGCTAAGCTTCATGGCCAATACGACTATATAAAGTCCAAAGATCATAATGGGGTTGATAAACCACCTTATCACTGGCGGGGCACCACCTTGTACTGCTTTTCCTCTACACCCAACCACACCCCTTGCGGGTGACATTTCTTTCCTGGGGGAGTTTCCAGCCGCCAGGATCAACTCATAGCAAAGCCAAATAATTACTGTAAAACGTTGGAAACCTGACCTGGGACTTATGACCTAAACATCATCCAAAAACATCCTTAGCCAAAAAATAAACAGCGTTTTGGGGGAACCCCCAACCCAACCGAGGCCTCAATTTTCGGTCCAACTTGGATGAGACCCAGTTGCTCACCTCAAGGTTCAAACCTCGGAGGCAAACTCGCTAAACGAATCGATCGCCAGGGGACAAAAACATGCTTTGAATCACATCTAGAGCTAGGGAGCGCCAGAATCAAAAGAGTGCTGTGTTATCTTTATCAATCTCATTCATTCCATGAGTGATACCCTCTGGTAAACATACATACAACTATATATAGAAAATCACAATTTTTCATGGGTAAATCAACCAACTAAATGGCCATTTTCAATAGCAAACTGTTAGTTTACCAGAGGGTATACGGACCCTAAAAACAGAGGTTAAGGTTGCTCATCTGACCTCTTCCGTCACAAATCTGCAGGAAGCATGTGCTTGGGCAAGCGAATCGTTGAAATCAGCGTTGCTGCTAGTTGCAATCACAACGTTCGGATGTTCAAATCCAAATTCCATGGTCCATAACTTCGTCTCGAGATTCTTACCATGCCAAAAAACATGTTCCACGGCTGCCACGGCTTTGGGAGAAATCTACAGGAAACCCTTTGATCATATATAGATGATCATAGTTTTGACCATCAAATATCGGGCCTTTCTCGTCAAAGCTGTCACAAACAATTCGGCACCCCGACTGGGAGCGAAGGAGTGCATCAATCTCAACCTCCGCGAAGCCGGCAATGCGAATCACTGGGGAAGCTAAGAAGGATATGTTCACAACTGGCAGGATATGCCCCCCAATTTAGGGAAGGGTATGTAGTATGTACCCTAATGAAATTAGGGAGTTGCCCCAAAACTCCATGCACCGCCAAGATCAACCTGCAGGAACCACCTTGAAATGGTCCACCAGGGTAAAGCTGAAAGATTTCTGGTCAAATCCTCTTCCGATCCCCTGATTCGCTCAGGGCTTGTCAAGACTTCCAATGAGGTTCAGTAATCCAACTGTGATATCACCACCCGCGACCAGAGCTTCGAATTCTGGTACGCTCTTAGAAGTGTTGTGAAAATTGTATGGATGCTGTTCCACAGCAGCGTCCACGGCGTTCCACTTATTAAACTCGCGAAATACCCGGCTGCTTGCCATGTTTTGATCACTCTTGCTCTTCACCTGGGGAAAAGCTTTCTCAATGCTCTTGCACTTGGCATGATGCCGTGCTTTGGCCGATCCAAGATTCACCAAGCTTGGAGGATCATTCCAGTTGGAAACTCGTTCATATCCCTGGTGTCACCATTCTTGGTTAGCCCAACCATGGTTTGGTTGGTGAAATGGTTATTTACAATCTGATCTTAGATAACATGCAACACATACCAACAAATTATGTATTCATTTTTGCTCATGAATAAACAACTTAACATAATACTAAACTACCCATCCAAAATTACTCATCTCAGCAATCCTTTACCAGGCTGATCTCCTTATCCCCAGTTCTAGTCACCACAAACCTGAGTTAACTCCTTGCATCTTTGGTTACTTGAAGATACTTGAAGCCTCATTGAATCATTGGTTACACTAATTAAACCGTTGGTAAAACATGGTAAAACAAGAACCACCGCGTCTGCCTCCCTGCCCGGGACCCCCTGGGACCCCCTGGGAGCCCCTGGGACCCGGACAGCTCGATGGCCTGAGTTACGGTGATGTTGTCACCTCAGTTTGGCAAAATATGGATGCATCAAATCTTGGGGATGCCATCATCTGAATAATAATGATTGATAAAGTCATGATATGGATGCATCTGAATATATCTGAATATATCTGAAACATGTAAAAAGTGATGGATCAAAGTGGGAACCATGTGGGAAATAGCTTGGAACCTGGGTTCTGTCAAAAACCGAAACCACACTTAAATAGGATTAAGCAGGATGGGACTCACCGCCGCACTTCGCCCATCATTTTTTCGCAGCACGCATCGCTGAACAGGTGCCGGTTCCGGCGACATTAGACAAGTGCGACCGCAGGATCCGCCATGATTCGCTTGAGCGTGCAGTCATGTCATGCAGGGCGGTGCCCTTTTGATTCAACGTATCACCCGAGAGAGAGATAGAGAGAGAGATTGAGTGTGAAGTTGATTTCTTGTGTTCAATATGTTTTGGTAGCCAGCAATAGGACCGTAGGATTTTCCCATTTTGAAGCAGCGAGTTCAAACAAGGCATCGAAAGAACACATTTTAGAGACCACAGTGATCATAGAGATCCTGTGCTGACCCACCTTTTAAAGGAGGTAGTTTGCGCAGCTTACACTGTCGTGCTTCAACCCAACAGAATTGTAGTACCTTCCTCACGAACCATCGACACAGATCCTGCGATCATTCTGATCATGAGCAAAGCCGCTGAGACAGGAATCAAAGCAACCCTATCACAAATCTACCTAAACACGCTGTTGAGATGGATATGTCGCGCATCAAACTGATGAAATATCTTAAAGATATCTTAAGGCTTCATGGCCGGTTCCGCCAGGGCCACGTCTAGACCCAGTTTCACCGTGCCAGAGAGCAAGTGCCGCAAATGCAGCCTGCGAATCAGCAGCGCTTCAATGGGTCACAGGGTTTCTTGTTGATTACCCCCAGGCAATTTTACAAAGCTACGGGAAATGGCCCATTTAGTTCGATGATTTACCCTGATTTCCCCGTATATGACAGATGATGGTTTTCGAAAAGTACGATCAATTACCAGAGGGCGATACACAAGAAACTCGTTGTTGGGCTAGTTCTTGTTACAGTTAGCTGTTGTTGGATAAGACATGATATCCCTATGATCCATCAGGATCCTGGATTTACCCGAAAATTGGACATAGGAAGGATATCACGGGATATATAGCCATTTGGATGAGATCCCGTTCCAAATCAGAAAATATCCTCAATCTGGCCATTTACATTGGGAAACTTAGTTTAAACCTTTGGATTTGAGTGGTGCCCCCTTCGCACATCACCATTGAAAACATCAAGTGGGGTGCCCAGCCAACCTATCCCATCCTATATAATCATATCTTATAAACCTATATAACCCTAAAGTTTTGTAAGCCATGACCCAGCCCTCCTCAACAATTCATGCCCGCCCTTAATAACCAGGTCACTGATCTCCGCTGGCATCTTTAATGAAGCGCAGTAGGCTGGTTCTCAGCACATTGGTGATGATATCCTTTGCCACCGCCATCGGTGTCCGGCGCTCTTGAGCCGACGTGGGAAAACATGGAAAAGCTCAATTTCCCAGCAATGGAACACGACCTAACACAACACTAAAAGGGGCTTGCTGTGTATCTTCCCATAATCCAAAAGCGGGTGAGTCTGAAAATGGTGCATTTGTTGCCACAAACAAAGGACTGTTTAAGAGGGAAATTCCGATGAAGCAGTGGATAATCATCGTTTCAATGGCTAAATTTCAGGTCAAATCTTCGCTGTTTATCTTTCAATCTTGGGGTGTCCTCAAAACTCACCCCTTCACAGGTTGCATCTTTACTATTTTCACAACTCATGGCAATGACTACTTTTCGGGGGTTCGGTTCACCATTTTTGTCAGAAAGACCAACTGAGCATGATGACAATCTGGGATGGATGTTGACACTCCGAATTAAGCAAAGTCACTACTCTTGGCAGTACGTGATATCTATCACAGGGTCAGTTGATACCAAGAAAACAGGAAACCATCATGGAATATCATGGATCTTCATCGATTTCAATGTCGCTACGAAATGGTACCCCTGAATTATGTCTGTTGGTCAAACAATTAGGCATAGATACATGATACAGAAGGTGTGACATACGCACCATAAATCCAAAGTGATAAAACCATGGGGCACCACCCCGTATGAAAAGAAACCAAGGTGTTGATTCGTCCAAGGCAAAACCATCATCAACAGCAACTGCATGACACAATATATGTGCAGATCGAAACTGACGGGTGCGGGCTGACGAAATGGACTTCAATCTGATCCACTGGAAATTGGAATGGGATGCCTCGAACATTCCGGCGCCAACCTTGAGACAAGTCGCATATTGCTGATCACATTGGATACATTTTCGAGACAAGGATGATGCAACCGTGGTTTCAACAAACCAAAAACGTCTTGTTTTCTGTAGATGTTCTCTTCAACTAGCCTCCAACTAACTAAGTCTCACAGCCCATAACAACCAAATATGGCCCTACTCTTTGAAGGTTCCCCATGCAGGTTTCGGACATCACATCCCATACTCTCTCCGAAAACTTGGGTGTTTCTTGGTAACGCAGTGATTGTATATGCTGATTGTTTTGGATGTTGACATTAAAACTTAATTGAAACATTGGGTATATTAATGATGACACCCGTCTTAGAACAGAAAGCAGCCTGAAACTTCTTTTTGTGCATCTATGTTTGTCTTAATCATGTATGGGCCCGCTGAAGCATTGCCCAAGACAAAATGCCCGGAGTTTTTGGACCAACTGCCAAACATTGTGCATCTTCAATTTGCAAAAATACATATCACATATCCATTGTTACTGGTTCAAATCGGACCACTTCTTTTGTTTCATCGGACTAAATCATCCAAGTATAGTATCGGGATCAGATCCAGAAACTACATCATCAATCCATATCAATCCCCCATGTCATGGTTGGTTTCACCATGTTTAACCCCCTTCTTAATGGGCCCAAAAGTCAGGATGGTCAAATCTGCGAAGTCCCAGCATTTCTGGACCCTGGGAGCTCCGGCCTCGCTCCACTAGCGAAGTCACTGGTTCACCTGGACAAGGTCGAGGAAAATTCATTCTGATGGGTAAAGTGTCATGTAAACTATATTAATTATGTATTAAATATGTTTGGGAAAAAGGAATTAAACACAAACAAATACACAAAAAAACATCATGATTCATGATAACTACTGTAAATATTGCAGGGAAAAATGAGCATAATAATCGAAAAATATCAGAACATGGAATGAAACGGGGAAAAATGGGATCATGATTACTAGAAAGGAACACATGAACATAATCATGACGCGCATGATTATGATTGTGATTGGCAATAGATCATCATGGTGTATAATGGGTATCATATGCAGCAATAGTAAATATTCATCAATCATTTCCCTCTCTTCATAGTTCCCCTCATTTTCTTCTGTTTTCGTAGTATGCCCCGTGCTCTTATATAACCAGATAGTATCATTATCATCCCATTCTTCACCATAACTAATCTATAACTAAACTCTGGTATGGTACCATTATACTCCCATATAATAAAATAACCATATGTACATGTAAATATTGTGGTTGATCTTAATTCCTTTATCTGCAAATGGCTATTCTTAGCGAATCAAACAATTACTGTCGCGAATCTTTTGCGAACCCCACGTTTATCTTTCGCCGGAGTCTCATGTTCAAATCTTTCGCTAAATCGTTCGCCCCAAAAAAATACGTTCGGAAACTCAGAAAAACACTTTCGTGGAGGCTCATGTAACCCTGGCGGCCTTTGTAGTGGATAATCTCTACATGGACCTTGAGATCGACAATCAATCACACACACACACATATATATACATTATATATAGACATATATATATATACACATACAGACGTAAATATATACATATGTATATATATATATATATGTCTATATATATATGTGTGTGTAAGATATATGTATAAATCATCGCATTATACCCCACGAATTCTTGCAATCACCAGGCTCCCCAGCCTTTTTCGGGACAAAGGACCTGGGAGTACCTTAAGACGCCAAAGGCATGGGATGATAATCATGGAAATATATATATATATATATAATATATATATATATAGAAATGCACGGAATATTATGGAATGAATGAAATAATGCTGGAAAATGATCTCCCTATACCATGGAATGCTCTAACAGGGATAAAATTGGGATATTCATGGGATATTAGGATGATAACTTGATAGCAGCAGGATATTAATGGATACCATTTGGCGATCAAACATCGCACCTGAACATCCCCCATATGGAGGTTTACAGCTGGGAAAATCATCGACGCATTGCAACGTTTGATTGCCGGAAAGTATGATGGGTATTTCAGCCGCAAAACATGGGAGTAAGTTGTTTAACTTGGTGATAAACCCACATTTGGTGCAAAAATAGGGATGTCCAACACCAGCCGGCTTGAAATATATGCCTCAGAAAGAAATAAAATCAAATTAGCCAAAACTTGGATCAATCCAAAAAACATGGGATATGATTGATATTTCACCCACAAAGTATGGGGATGATGTGGCTAAACGCATTTTTCTCTGCAAGCGCAGCACTTTGGAGACCTCACTCGTCAGTTTGCATGGCAGGCGCAGCACTTTAGACGTGTCATGTTGTGTTTTCTGCGAATCGCATTGTCAGGGCTGCGTGAAGTGGTGATAAGGCGGAAATTCCGTGGCAGGCGTGGCATTCTGTGAGATGTGCTGAAAATTGACGGAAGCCTCGCGATTTTGAGGTAGCAAATCTTATCAAATTTTCAGGTTCTAAGGTAAACTCGTAGGAAAACATCGATTTTGAAGCTACAAAGTGGCAAAATTGGAGGAAGTCTCGCATGAAATGCTCGTTTTGATGCTCTCACGTGTCTCGTCTCGAGTCTCTGGTTTTCCTGTGGCCTCGCCGTGTCTATGGGGGGAAGCTGCAAAACCTATCCTTTTTGATCCTTTTTGAAGGTGTCAAATCAAGTTGTAATGTCGTTCTGCGTGGCAGGCGTGGTTGCGCATCGTTTTCAGAAGATGAGTTTCATTTTTCGTGGCAGGCGCGGCACTTTGGAGACCTCCATCATCATTTTGCATGGCAGGCGCGGCACTTTAGACATGTCATGTTGCGTGTTTTTTTGCAAATCGCGTTGTCAGGGCTGCATGCATGTCTTTACACTCCACACTTTACACTTTACACTCCACACGTTACACCTTACACTTACAATCGCACTCTACACTCCACACTTTACACTTTAGACTCCACACTTTACACACCACACTCCACATTTTACACTCCACCCTGATCCACACTCTACACTTTACACTCCACTCCACACTTTACACTTTACACTTTACACTTTACACTCCACACTTTACACTTATATAACACTTTACACTCCACACTTTACACTTGACACTCCACGCTCCCCACTCTACACTTAACACTCCACACTTTACACTTTGACACTCCACACTCGACACTCGACACTTTACACTCTACACTCCACACTTACACTCCACACTTTACACTTTACACTCCACACTTTGCACTTTACACTCCACACTTTACACTCCACACTTTACACTTTACACTCCACACTTTACACTTGACACTCCACACTCTACACTTAACACTCCACACTTCGACGCTCCACACTCTACACTTTACACTCTTCACTTTACACTCCACACTTTACACTTTACAATTTACAATTTACATTCCACACTTCCACACCCCGCACTTGCGATTGTACACCTTACACTCCACACTTTACACTTTACACTCGACACTTTACACTTTACACTCTACACTCCAAACTTTACACTTTACATTTCTTGACACTCCACACTCTACACTCCGCAGTCTGAACTTTACACTCCACACTTTTCACTTTACACTCTACACTTTACACGGCACACTATACACTAGACACTTTACACTCTACACATTACACTCCACACTTTACACTTAGCAATCCAGGCTCTACACTTCACACTGTCCACCCCACACTTTACACTTTACCTTCCACAATCCCCACTTCACACTCTACACACTACATCCCCACTCAACACTTCACTTCTTCACGCTCCACACTTTGCATCCCACCCCCTTCCACATTCCACAGTCTACAGTGCACTGGTACGGTAACAGGGGAAACATGTGCAAGACTGTTTACTTTAAATAATTGGTTTCACAAAACTGCTTTACGTGACTGCATTCGGGTTCGTGGGCTGCATCTGGTTTTTTCATAGCCATAGGTCTAGGCGAGATCCGTTGGCACCACAAAGGGTAGTCACAATAGATCATAATATGATTCCCACATCTTGACCTTGCCCAAGAAGTTGGAAATCGATCTCCAAACGCCAACAAAAATAACGGGGATATCATGTGATACAGTTGGTATATAACAAACAGGAAATGGGGGAACAACAAAAAAACAAATGCCAACATCCAGCTTTCGGAAGAATCGGACTGGAGTCTTCTTCCCGACCATAGGGTTGGAAAAAAAAAAGGCCAGTGAACCATACCCCTGTTTAAAAGATCTATCCATGATGTTTATTGATGTTTATTGATGTTTATTGATGTTTATTGATGTTCATTACTGTTTATGTATGTTTATCAATGTTTATCTAATCATGTTTATTTATTTATGTTTCCATCTCATGCTTCTCCATGAATTTTCCGGTCTTCTGCTTGTTCAAACCTATCCTGCAGGTGATCTTCCTCCAGTCTTTGTTAATTTAGGATCATGATGTGCCATTGCGGTTTGTCGGTTTGTCCTGTGGATGTACCCTGCAAACACATTGACATTCCTGTTCACCGTCGACCCAGTCATTAGGGGACTAACCAGACTTCATTTCGCCACGGTGCATTTCCCGGGCCACCGCGTCGGACCTAGGTTCACACTGCACCAAAGGCGTTCCCATGGGCACTCAAAATCATCAATCTTGAAAGAATCAGCCCGCAGGGGTGATCAAAAACAGTTGGATTTCATGGGTTCATGAATGATTGGACTCAGAACTTACGCCAGCAAGCGATACAAATAACAACTTCAAGATCGCCTAAAATGCTGCCGATGGGCAACAGGAATGGGGGGGAATCACCGACAGTTTGATCACCTCTCTCTCCACTAGATTTTTCGAGAAAAATATACAGGACATGAAATATTGTTTTTTTTTCAAATCTAGCAGTTTCCTACTAAATTTCCCGTCATCCGAGTGCTGAATATGGCGATGAGCAACTCTGGTTGCTATGAGCATGTTCCAGCCCACTGAAACCACTTACCAAAGGAGGTAGCCACGGAAAAAAACGCTGGAGGTAAAACTCCGATTGACCCTGGAGGCAGGTGTTTTCTTAGAAAGGTATCTTCGGATGGAAGATTGCAACCCTTTGTAAAGTCCATTCATGGATGGTTTCCAGGTGAAATCGGGATTTGGGTTCACTCCTACGCTGAATTACCAAGGGATGGTATGTGATTGGTACTACATTTGTCAGTCACGAACATCACCCAGTTTCAAAGTAGATTCCATCTATAAAATTGGTTGGCTACATGGTTCAGTTCATCCCATCATATCATAATTAGGATGTTATAGCCATCATATATGGTTACCCTCTGGACAATTAACAGTTCGACCCCGAAAACAAGCAATTTTTGGTGGTCTCACTTATCTTCCAAGCCTTGCCAGGGTCGTCATGTCAAGGCACAACTCATTGAACGGTAGGGTCCTTCGACGTTTCTTGCCACTGCCCAAGGCCTAGGGATTTCACTGCGAACAGGTAGGGACCCCCGTGAACCATTGTTAGAATAAACAATTTTAGAACTATTTAAGTTGATCCCACTGGATTGATTTACCAGTTTAGATGGGAACCTTTATGTTTTTTGAACCTAATCGGGTTGCCTGCAAGTTCGTCGAAGTACTGAACCAGGGTGTCCGGGAGTGAAATCCTGATTTGCTATAGGATAATTATTGTGGAATTTGAATTTGAATAATATATGATGGTCGTGACTATGGTGGCTACAGGGATTCACAGCATTTCGAACATCAAAAGGGATTGCATCCTCCATGTCCATGAGATCAGATCCAACATGCAGTGCGTTCAAAAGTTTTCATACCGAAAAAAGGGACTATATGTTCTTGATACTGGTGGATTTATAGTTGATGTCCAATTGCCACGTTTCATTACCACAGGGTATGGCCCTATTTCTTGTGGATCATTCCACCCAATTGCAGGCAGAAATAGTGACATCTGGCAAAGGATCGTTACATGCAAAACCATGTCCCAAACCCTCGAAATCCCGACAATGTCCCCCAACATCATCCGCTTTCTCTTATCCTGTGATCCTTTCTGCTGAGATGGGGAAGCTAATTGAATGGTAACAAAGTCTTCATTAGCTGGTTAGTAATTTCATAGCTGGGTTTTAACCCATGGTAACTCAGTTAGAAGCGACTATCCTGAATAACTGCGCATAACACCAAATAATGCTAAGGGTAGGTACTGGGGGAAAGAGTGACGGAATATATTATACATATATATGCATATAATTGGAAATAATAATATATACGTATATAATGTTATATATAATGAAAAATAAAAATAGCAATAACAAAAATAAAAGTCATAATTTATGATAATTAATATATATATATAAATAAATATACCGTTGTATTAATTATAAAATTATGTAACATTAAATATTTTCTATATAATGTATATATGTTGAACCAATCACAAATATAAGTATATAACTATTAACTCATATATATATATATATAGATAATGGTATATATATATATGCTATATCACATATATTATGTTTTATGGTTTTTACATTAAAATTTATTCTATTGAGTGAAATGAAGTTATATTATATTAAATCAAATGTTTAATTGAAACATGTGAAATATTTTTTTGAAATTATATTATATTATATTATATTCAAGGAAAAATAAACTATATTATATTAAACCAAAAATGAAATGATTAAATTTTATATCATAAATGAAATTATATAATATTGTATGTTATATTATACTAAATAAAATTATTCTGTATTATATGAAATTATGTTGTAGCAAATGTAATGATATTAACATTATATTATATATTCGATAATACGATACTAAATAAAATATTATATCAAATTATATTATATATTAAGTTATATTATATATCATAGATATATTATATTAAATTACTATATGGTATGATATAATATATAATTTTATACTGCAGTATTATATCAAATTATATTAATTGATAAATTGTATTATAATATTTTTCAAATTATTTTACATTTTATTACATTATATGAAAAAAATCTATGATCTTAAATTACATTATATTAAAAAAAAATATATATATATCACCAGTTCACCAACTCCATGACAGAGGCCCCTGCAACTGCAAAGGAGCTGGCTGTCCTGTGGCGAAGTTCACTCAACATCATAGGATTGGTGGCAGCAACCACATAAACGGCCAATCTTAGGTACCCTGCACAGATTAACGCGTTTTTCTGTTGAGTTGTTATCCCCAATTTTTTTGCCGCCCCAGCCAGGCATTAAAGTAGCAAAGTGCCCTTTCAAGGTTTACCCAGTTACTATAACACCATCTTCCACACCCAACTGGCCATGCGAAACTTCCATGAGTCGCTCCTGGTCGCTCCGACGGAATCCACCTGCAGGATGGTATATAACGCATGTTTCCCCATGGAAGTTGAGTACCGGATGGAACGCAACATGGAATCCTTCAGGCTGGACAAACAATCCATTGGTGCTAATTCATTGGGATTCAACTCCCATCAAAGGTGACCCCCTGACCCCCCATGAAAAAACATGTAAAAAGAAACATATCCATGGAAGGTGAAAGTCCCATGAAAGAAGTGTTTCCTTTGTCAATTTTGTCCTTGGGGAAAATATCGCCTGAATTTGGAGGTATACACATGCGGCGAGATTTGCTTTGGAGGGTGCACCGGTCAGTCACAAGCCAAAAAAAAACTGGCAGGAAAACAAGATAGAACCAACACTTTGACAAATCGATGAACTGAACATGAACATGCGTGCCCAAAGATACTGGGTTTGTGAAGAAAATGCAAGAATATCTGATCAGTACATGGATATCCAAAACAGGGCGAGCCTTTGATAGCAGCCTCGCTGGTGCTAATTTCCCGCATGGCCCCCACTTCTTAAGCCCTTAAAATTTAAAAGCCCATTCAGCTAGAATCGCTAGAAAATCTAGTGCCCCCAAACGAATAAAAAAAACAAAAGCACCCCTTATCGACCATAAGGTTATTGAATTCAGGTAATTCATCATCTCGATGGCTGGTCAATGTTAACAATTGTGTTCATATTCATTCTCGAATTTTCAGAAACAAGGTCATTCATGTGGACATTTATACACATTACCACCCACCTGAATAATACAGGTAATCTGCGGAAACTCCACCAGTGAAATTTTACGTCTTCATCATACTCCCAAAAACCCATCTACAAATGGGAAACCATTGCCTAATTAGGTGGTCTGAATGGGAACCATTCTTTCTCTTTCTCTCTCTCTCTCTCTCTCCATCGCCGTCTGCCCCATTGATGTTTTACTACTCATACAAAGCTGGCCCAAAAAATAAAAACAGTTGGCACAGTTAGAAGCCAACACAAACAACTTACCTATCCTGGGGGCACCATATTGTGGTAAATTGGGTTATCCCCACGTACTTGCAGCGCTGCTATCCGCAAATACATACACACACATGCAGAAAAATACATCTCTATTTGACTATCTATACTGTATATTTACATATACAATATAGATAGATAGATACAGTATTTGTTTTCTTGTGCGCTCCCATTGCATTTCTAAGTGATTCAAAGTAATGATTTTGACACGCAGTTTTTTCTGAGCGCTTCAGATTTCTAAGTGCACGCAGAAACTCTGACCGTGATTACGGTGATCAAGGGTCCAAAAAAAGTGTATATATATATGTGTAAATAAATATATGCATACTGATCAAAGTTCCTTTATCTGGGAACGGCCATTCTTCGCAAATAAAAAATATGTTTCGCGAATCTTTCGAGAACTCCATGTTTATCTTTCGTGGAACCCATGTTGAGCAACAACTCCTCTTATGCAGATTCATTCAGCACCTGCCAAATCACACCAAATTATCACGGATAACTTCTTCATAGCCTTGTAAACATGCAGCTAGCATCACGGAATCCCCTTCTCAGGACAGGTTGTTATTAGTTACTGTAGGCGACTTTTTGTTTGCAAGGCTTACCGGGCCGCAAACACCAGGGGCCTTGGTGTTTGGCTGTCGCAAAGCTTCACTTTTGGAAGCTTGGCTGCTGCATTTGGAGCTTGTTTCTTGAGACTTCAGAAAGCAACGCTAGGCAGTCCCAGCGGCAGGTGCAAGGATGGGCTTCAAGACCATGGTATTTGACTGTGGCGAAGCCTCACCTTCGGCAGCTTGGCTCCTACCTATGAAGGGAATGCCGGACTCCGAGCCCCCGGGCGGCAGGAGCTGGTAGCCCTGAACTAGCTATACAATGATAATGATTCAAAATATCCAACTTTTGCGAAACTTTCGCGAATAAAATTTCTCTTTCGCGAACTCGAAAAAAACTTTCGCGAGGGTTTCCAACATAACACGCACGGCTTTCGCAATAAAAACTCCTTACAAGAACACTTAGATCAACGACCATATATATCTACCTTCCTATCTATCTATCTATCTATCTACCTAGCTAGCTAGCTAGCTGGCTATCTATCTATCTATCTATCTATCTATTCATCCATCTATTTATCTATCTTATATTATCTTAACAAATCTTATCTTATCTATCTAATCTATCTATCCATCTATCCATCCATCGGTCCACCATTATCAATCATTATCTATCAATCATTATCTGCCAATCATTATCTACAAATCATTATCTATCAATCATTATCTATCAATCATTATCTATCAATCATTATCTATCTATCATGATCTATCTATCATTATCTATCATTATCTATCTATCAATCATTATCTGACAATCATTTTCTATCACTCATTATCTATCAATCGTTGTCTGTCAATCATTATCTATCATTTTTTTTTCCTCCCGCGCTCCTTTTTGGGTTCCTGCGCGTCAGTTAGGCCGCGACACGCAGTGGCATCCGGCTAGGGCCCTCTTGTGGGGCGAGGGCTAGGACAGCGGCCAAGGAAGGCGCGTCCTCGGCGGCCTGGGGGTAGAGCGGGGCTTCGCAGGCGCCGCCAAGCGCAGTTGTGGCGAGTGCCCGTTGGACGGCTGTGGTGAGGATGGACCACCACCTGCGGCGCCGGAGCACTTTTGGAAGTTGAGATGTCTAAAATGTGCACGGCGTTGTGGCGCGAAGCACATTTGGAAGTGAAAATGTACAAAGCACACCATGCTGGGACCACTTTTGGAAGTCGCGGGGTCGAAAAAATGCACGCCGTTGTGGCGCGAAGCACATTTAAAACTGAAAATATTAAAAACACCAGGGGTTCGGACCATAGTTAGTTTGTTGGTTAGGTAATTTAGTTAATTAGTTAATCAATTAGTTAGTTAGTTAGTGAGTGAGTGAGTGAGTGAGTTAGTTAGTTAGTTAAACAGTTAGTCAGTTAGTTAGTTATTTAGTTAATTAGTCAGTTGGTTAGACAGACAGAGAGATAGACAGATAGATATAGGCCGACGCTCCAACCGCCTTTCGATCCATCAGTGGGCTTGCTCTGCCATCCATGACTCACAAC